AAGCCGAAGTTCATATACCCTTGCAGCTATTGCATGAATTAAATACTTTTGAAAACATTAAAATTATTTTTTACTTGAGTATATGCTGAAAAACATTGAAACTATGATGATTTGCAGCTCAATTATTAGATAGTTATTTTATATATTTTTATTATTTCTATGGGAGCTATATGCTATAGACGTCTGATTTTGATAAAATTTAAACCATAATTCTGAAATAATTAAACATTGCTATATGTCGAAGAACTAAACAAAAAATTAAAAAACAGAAAAGTTATAATTTTTTTTCATTTATTTTTCCGATTGTTCCTATGGGAGCTATATGCTATAGTCGTCCGATTTTGATGAAATTTTAACCATAACTCTGAAATATTTAACCATTGCTTTATGTCGAAGAACAAAACAAAAAAATAAAAAACAGCAAAGTTATAATTTTTTTTCAATTATTTTTCCGATTGTTCCTATGGGAGCTATATGCTATAGTCGACCGATTTTAATGAAATTTAAACCGTAAATCGGAAATATTTAACCATTACTATATGTCGAAGAACTAAACAAAAAATTAAAAAACAGCAAAGTTATAATTTTTTTTCATTTATTTTTCCGATTGTTCCTATGGGAGCTATATGCTATAGTCGTCCGATCCGGCTCGTTCCGACTTATATACTACCTGCAATAGAAAGACAACTTTTGGGAAAGTTTCATGCAGATAGCTTTAAAACTGAGAGACTAGTTTGCATATAAACGGACGGACAGACGGACAGACGGACGGACAGACGGACAGACGGACAGACGGACAGACGGACGGACAGACGGACATGGCTAGATCGACTCTACTAGTGATGCTGATCAAGAATATATATACTTTATAGGGTCGGAAACGTCTCCTTCACTGCGTTGCAAACTTCTGACTGAAATTATAATACCCTCTGCAAGGGTATAAAAATATTTAAACAAAATAATATATTCCTTTGGTATTCAACTTTCAACTATTTACATTAAAGCTTTAAAGCAGCGTTTCTTAAAAAGAAACTTGAATAAAAAAAATTTGTAGAAGAATAGGAAAAAATTAGTTCGATTCCTTTTATGGGCAATAATAGTGTTAACAAGTTGGGTTGGCTGTGTTTGTACTTTAAAACTAGAATATTTTCAAGACTGTTTAGCGAACTAATTTCTTTTGTTTATTTTTATGAAAAATAAACCGACCAATTGTAAACATCGACTTTAAATAACTTATTATCTCTTCCGGAAGAATAAACTGATAAATTCAAAACAAGGACTTTGCAGGATATTTCCATATTTTGATGAAGTATATACTGAAAAATTTGAAATTCGGTGTATAACATTCACATAAGATATATGTGCACTAAGTATTGGTTTCGCTCACCCTTTCAATCAGATTGTCACTTAACGCAATTTCTATTTATAACTTCAGTTACCCAATGCCGTAGAGTACAAGTATAAAGCCATATAAACACTTCGATTAAAGCATTCTACACTTCAATCTAAGCTACTTGAGAAATTTTATGTTCAATATCATGTATCGGATTTTTATTGCGAATATATAACCTTTGTCGAACAGACCAAACGATCGAAGGGAAATGAACCGAAGCCGGCGTCGCAAGACAAACCGTCTACGATTGGGCATTTTCTGTCTATTTTTAGGCGTTTGTTTATTTTTAACGTGCAATCAAGCCGCTTTTCTACCGTCTGCCTGCTCGATAAGATTACGGAAAAGTCCATAATAAACAGATATTCAAACACAATATTCAGCAACGCGTGCGGATCCATATGGACATCAGTTGCCAACCCCATTTTAATATCACCCCATAGCCTTGCTTTCTAATTCAAAAATATAAATCGGTTTTAGATCTCCTCCATTTGCATGAAACTTAAATGTCCATTTGTCATCAGCTAATTCAAAGGGCTTTGGCCAAGCTAAATTTATATTATTTATGAATTTTTAATGCTGGCATAATTACAATTAAATTTAGTCAGTCAAGTCCCTTATTTAAAAATAAAGCAACGTTCGAAGGGATTTGAGCATTTCACTTGTCTCAATCTTGCTTTATAGTTTATACATGTCAGATAAATAAGCTTTAAACCCTGACCCCGTTCGTAAGTAATGTGCGAGCATTCTCGCATCCCACGAACATGTGGTGGTCCTTATGGTACGTGTGTAAAATTCCTGGACTCAGCGATTGAACCGCCTGCAATTTAATGAACCGTAATAAAATCGGTGCTTTAATGAATTTAATTAATTTGTAACGTATTTAAAATCTGGATGCAATACGACGCCACAGGGGTTTTATTAAAATCCCTCTTTAAAGTTTGAAATTCCAATGAGAAGACCTTAAACTTCCCACAGTCACTACACTTTTTCTGTCTCAAACAACTGACCAGCTTAATTGTCTGCAAAACTTTTCTTTTTTCCGCATATCGTCGAAACAGTTTCAGAAACTACTGAAAAATTGTTTTCTTCTTGGCGGAAAACGATAGCTTAAGCCGAATAATATTTGGGCGGGGAAAGTTTGGTATGTTTGGCTAGCCTAACCCTTTTACAAAAACATGTTCATATTTGCTAGGGTGTTGGCTTACCAATTGATTAAGGAATATTTACGTTATCGTGCGGCTACAGCATATGCACATATGTCAGTAGGAGGTGTGACCGCAAGCTTTGCCCAGCCCTCTTCCGCATTATGTATACGAAGTGTGGTGTTTGACTTACTAAGTGCTACCTTCTTCACAGCATCGCAGCATGTCTTGCAAAAAGTGCTACAAAAAATAAGCTTAACATAGTTTAAATGGCGAATTGCTGAAAGGAAACGTCAGTGCAGGATATGACCAGTCACAAAAATGCGCAGTGAAAAGAGAACTGGATAATTGGTTTTTTTTGCGTAGCGAGTAAATATAATTTCAAAAGAACACCCCTTAACAAAGAAATACTTAATCTGTTTTCTAAACTTAAACATTTTTTAAAATGAATTCCCTTGATGTTTCCAGCATTTAATATTTTTTAAAGTATTATACAAGTTCTTACGAACTTTAAAACTACAAAATTTTGGTGGCAATAAAATGACCTAAAGTTATTCTGAGTAAACAGCTCAAGGCACCTAATTCTATCAGAAATTCCTAGTTTTTCCCGCTCAACCCACACAAAGTTAAGTTTTAATACCCGTAGGCAACAAATTCTATTTAGTGTTGGTCCAAAAATCCCCATTCAACGAAGCTAAATAGAATCCGGTTCACTGATTTATGCAAATTCAATAATAACAGAATTCAGTGCGTGCCATAAAGTCAGCTGGCCTTTTAACCCCTTCCTTATTGCCAAGTTACTTTATCTATACCCACAACATGATGTAAATTTACATCTATATATGTTATTTAAATTTCGCAACTGGGGAAAGGAACTTTGCGATATTTACCCTGGAGCCAAATGTTGTTTTGCAATCATTTGCTTTTATCATCACAAGACGAAAGGGGAGGTGTGTGGGTGTAAGAAAGTGAATTTGCATGAAACATTGCTTGTGGGCGTGTCTCATCTGGAGCAGTAGTCTGTGTCCCCCAACATGCTGATTATGAGCTTATAAAGGCTTGTCGATGAATGTTAGGAATGTTTTTGACAAGGTTCAATGAAGAAAATCCGAGTCTTCAGCTTACCTTTTCCTGTGTTCGGAATGTTTCAAATATTCTAGATTTATTTTCCTTGTGTAGTGGACTTTTTGTTAGAATTAAAACTATGCATGGGTTTGAGAGATCGTGCCATCAATTTTTTCAATTTGTTCACATTTCTTTTTTGTTTGTACGGTTGATGGCAAACAATTTTTCGACATCAGTTTGTACAAAACGAAAACACACCGTCACTCAAACGGGAGAAAAACAATTCATTTTCAGTGAAGGGCAATAAAATCAAAAAAAAATATCACCAAATATATCGCGAGAGATTTATAGGCGTCAGAAACAGCATTTCTTGCTCACTTGGACGCGCGCGCGCTGCCGGTATTGAACTGAAATTCTCGGTCGCTTTGGCAAACTGTTCGCTTTGTTATTTTTTGTTCTTCATTATTGGCCAAACTATGGAAAAGCTCATCGAAGGCGTTTTGGTGGAACATTTCACCAATGCTCGAAACATTTCACCAATGATAAGAAGACATTCCGATAGCAGCTGTTAGCGACTGTTAGGTCAGTGGGTACTGTTATCTGGAGCCGAAGTCAATTGGCTGATGGTTTTGAAGCCTTCGACAAGAAACGCCCCCAATTAGCGCGTCTTCAAGTTATAAAGTGTGAAAAGGATAGCTCAAAATAATAGAATAATTTGGAATTTTCTTTCACCCATTTTAAAATATATCCCTTTCGTTTGCTTTTCTCTGTTTTGTAATTTTCTAGCGCTTTGCCTTACGCGCCTTTCTACATGCAAATGCTTTCATGGCGTATACGCAATGTCACCATGCCAGCATTGCTCATACGCCGCACATTGTTTACCGAAACACGCATTTCGGCTAAAACAGTAGCAGCTTTTCTTTGTTTCCCCCTTCCTGTTTTAATGTGCTTTTATATCCAACGAAAATCATAGCTTTTTAAAACGCGGCCGCAGCTGAACGATGTTAGCAATTGTTTGCCAAACTTATAGTGTGAGTTGCGGTAGTGGAAAATGCATGTGCGGAAATGGTTTTCAAGTGCGCTTAAATGCTTTTTCGTTGTCCTAGTTATGAGTGAGTGGACAATTATTATAATTACGATTTTAAGCGGATTTACAGAGCGACACTGAAGAGGTACTCTTTTGCTCCACTGTATACGAATATTTAAAAATATGTATATTTAATATTAATATTTAATATTTAATTTTCAAATAACTTAAATAAATAAAAGCTCAGCATTTAAAATATTTTTTTAAGTTGCACAATGAATACAAAACGAATTAATAAGACTAAGGTTTTTGACAGTAATCACATTCCTGTTGGTTAAAAAAGGAACAAACGAAAAGAGTTGTGTAAACTGGATTTTGTTCATAAGCTTCTTTATTTCTTATTTGCTGATTTCATTTATTCTTTTGTTATCAAGTGCTTAAGGCTGACAATGGGTTATAGCTTTACAGAGCAATGCAAGTGGGGGTGTGTGTGGGGTGTGCGTGTGTGAGAGTAGCTCTACGCAGACATAAGTTGCCACTGTGTGTGGTTTGCTTTGGACATTCGCATTCATTACAAAACGAGAATAGCTAACATTTATCAATTACTTAGAACTACATAAGCTGTGCATGTGTTGCAAGTGCCACCGCCGGCATCAGGTGCATCCTCGGAATCGGTTGCATCTGCTGCAGGTGCCTCCTCCACCCTCTCTACTTGGCGTTGCCGTCATCGTCGATCGCCTTGAATATGATGCCATAGACGTGGTCCACCAGCTTGGCCCACGTGGCCGCTTGACTCTCGTCCAGACTGCAGGCAGCGGTCAGCACGTCCAGGATAACGCCTTTCAGTTGCTACGAAGGAAATAAGGACACGACATTTTCAATATAATTTTGATAAAACCACAAAATATGCTTTTTAGGTATTTAACACATACGCCCTGGTATTGCTCAATGATAAGTTACTTAAGTTTAATTCCAACTTAATGATTATGTTTTATTAATCCTTGAAAAGTGCCAAAATTTATAATATTTGATAATTTAACCACAATTGTCCCAAAATGGGTATGAGTTGGAAATGTTTAATTTTGTATTTAGCAATATCCCGGAATCTTAAAGTGAAAATTATAACTATATCGTGACTTCACATTTTTAATTTTTCAATTGATAGTCACTAATAAATATTAAGAGCATCCTGTACGACTTACATTGTACGACTCCTTGGTAATGGTCCGCGGAATATGACTGACGGCCACCTTGGTCCAGATCTCGTCCAGCTTCTCCAGATCACCATCCTGTCCCAGAACCTTGATGGACTCATCAAAGACTCGAATGATCCTGCCGGCATGGGCTCGGAAACGAGCATTTTCCTTAAAATAAGTATATCATATTAATTTTCTAGCCAACTAAAAATGCAATTTTAGTTTACTCACACTTAGCTCCTCCATTGGAACATCTCGAAAGGGGAACTTCTCCAAGTTGGACGGATAGCGGTTGAAGAACTGCGTCAGTATCGCCGCTCCGGAATCTGTGGGTGTTGCCACGGGGATTTCCCAGGTCTTCTTGATCAGTTGCACCTCATCGCTGTTCATGTTTATGCTCCGTTTTCGTCAGCTTTAACTTTCTCTAACTCTTTTAGTATTTGGCCTTCTCTTTTTGCCTTTTAAGCTGAAAGTGAAGAAGGAAAAAATAACAAATTCAATTTGGATCGGCCTCTTTTTATCGCTCTAATTAAAATTGACAGTTTTACAATGCATCTCAACGTACCCGGCAAAAGCAAAATCAAAACAACTAACAGTGGCTTATATAAATATGCGCACAGCACGTGCTAAAAGTCAATGCCTTCGCCGTCGAGCAACAAAAACAAAAATAACATCATCATCATGATTTTATCCGAGCTCAAATTAACGTCTGTCAGTTAAACCGTAGCAAAAGCCCAACACACCGCCTTCCCCAAACCCACTTACTCACACATTTTTTACCATTGCCATGTCAAAGAGATGACATCGTGAAAATGCCAAGATGGTTATACATTTTTAAGACAAGATTTCTTTTTAAATAAGTTAAATAGTATCAAACCAACATTTTAACATGAGCATTACGAAAAAATGAACCCTTTCTACTAAGATACAATATTATGCCATATCTATTGATTTTTTTTATTATATTCCTATTGGTTGGGCGCTATTGTGAAGTTAACTTTTTCACAAGTAATTTAAACTTTCACGAAAAATATAACTGGTTTGAAAAGCTTACTATTAATATATAAGCTCTATAGGTATGAAATAAAATTCAGCTTGGGTACATTTTTAAACACGCTTCGTGCTGAATATCGGCTTATGTAATAGATGACCACCTCTAATCACCTTCCAGTCAGCAGGGTCTCCTCTCGAGTTCATAAGCTGACCCTACCCCTGCCCTCGACCTGCCCTGAGTTGACCACCAATCCCCATGCTTTGTGGCTGGCTTTCGCTTGCAAAATTTATCATACCCGTGTGCTCCACAAAGAGCTGTGGAAAATGCAATAGTGTGGGAGAATTCCCTGTGCATAGAGCGGAAATAGAAACAGTAAGAGCGCTCAAAAATGCGAAATACTGATTATGTCGAGAAATTAAATAAAATAGAATTCCGAAACAAATTAAATTTATATATTTATTGTTTTTATGACATACAAATTTCCATGCAAGCCACATATTTATACGGCCAGAGGAAAATTATCATATAGCAAGCGGAATTTTAGGAATAATTAATAAAGTATTAAGCTAACTTTGCTGAACTTTTCTTTTGTTTCTTGATGACAATGGCATTTTTACCGAGAAGAAAACCAAAAACAAAAAAGCAGTTATGCAAAAGAAAAGTATTTGAAAAAAGTAAACACAAAAGTTTTTTAAAAATTCACGAACTGACAGACAAACGAAATAGATATGGAACAAAAGCGGGCGGGGAAAGAAACAGGCAGAAAAACTGGAAAACGGACTCAAGTGCAGCCGCAGCAGGTGGCCGCCATGTTATTGTTGCTTTTTGCTAGAAAAGGGGGTAGGGGCGGTGGGCTGTCGGTGGCGGAGAAGAGGGCGGTGCAGATACCACTATAAAAAATTTGCCATCTCTCAGTAACCTTGTCTACAAGACCCCTTCGGGTCACCAACACAAGCATGGTGATATGAGCGGCGTTCATATGCCAGGATGTGCGCGTCTGTGTGCGTTTTGTAATATCCTTCATGCCAAAATGGCCTGTGGCTTTTGCGGTTCAAGTCTGGGCATGTTAGTGTATAAGTGCCGGCCAAGGGTGTGTGTGTATTCGCGTGAGCGAGAGTGTCTGCTGCAGTCAAGAGTGAAAAAAGGCAGCAACAAATCAAGCGTTGCCTTGTGGCTCTCCACTGGGAGAAAAACTATGTTCTCTCAATTAAATGTTATTTATGAAAACTTATCTTCCCTAGTACCGTATGCCTTTTAGTAGATTTGTAAGATCTTTAAAATAGATAATATAGATCTAAAAATAATAAAAAATATTTATAAAAGAGTTCCACAGAACTATAGGTATTTAAACCCCTCTTATTTCACAAAATACTTTTTGGAAAATTACATAGAACTTACTTATTTATATTTATAGATTTTACTAGCTTATTATTATTAAGAAGTATATCCCTGTCTTTTTTGATTACTTTTAAAAATTAAAATATTAGTTTGTGTAAAAAAAGATTTTTAGTTTGACTCTTTATGTGTATAATTTTTTTCTCGCTTTTTTCTGGTGTTGTGAGTGCGAGTGAGAGAGTGTTACCAGTAAGGACATTGAGCGCTTAATTAAATTAAGGCAAACTTGATGGACAGCTACTAGACAGCCAGCCGAGCGGATGAGGGTCAGAGGAGGGTGGCAGTGGATGGTGGGCGGTCCAGGCCGGAGAGGAGGGGAGGAATGTTGGAGCTGACTGGCAGGTCAGGTGTTGCCAAAGTACCTGCTTCAGGACTGTGTTTGTGCGAATGTTCGCGTATATTTGTTTTGTGATGCTGCCACTCAAGTGTCGCTATGGATTTGGTTGCAATTCTTTCTGCCCCTGTCTCTTTTACCACTCGGTATGTGAATTTATTTTATAAAACTCAAAAACAACATTCTGTCGGTTGCCATGTGGCAGATGAGAACTCTCGAAATATAAACTGGTATATAACAATTTTTCAAAAATTATCAAAGGCTCTGAAAGATCATAGCTTAGCAAATTGAATTTGTTAAAGTATATGCTTTAAAATCAGGTGTGAGGACAAAACACAGTAAGAGAGTGCAAGCATTTTATAACTTTTTTTAGGGGCTCTTAAAAATGAGATTGAATGAAATGAACATCATTTTTAGAATAAAACAGTAATAATCAATGACAAAAGGGTTTGATATAGTATTTAAATTAAAAATTGGAATTAATTTAAAATAAATAATAGTAAAACGTAATGTACGCGACAATCTTTTCTTTAGAGCTGCAATTATTTAAAGCATCTCTTAAAACCATTTATATGATTTTTATTCAGGGAAATCATTTAATTAAATCTAAAAAAAAAAAATAATTTTTAGTTACCGCTGTTAACAAATCCTTATTTTTTAAATTGTCTTTAAAGCCCTTATGCCTAACTACACACACACATACACAGCCACCACTTAAACTCACAGATGCACACTGTCATGTGCTCATCACGGGCATTAAGGATAATGACTGCCACAACAAAAAACGACAACAACAACAAATCGTAATCACAAGAAACAACAATAACAATCTTCTGCTGTGTGCCGGAGACGACACTTGTTTGCAAGGACACCACAGAAATCCATAAATTCCAAGCCCGCTGCTGTGCGGCTCTTTTATGGCTGGCAATGCAAAAAATCCAGCGAACCCGAAACAAAATTTAAATAAAAATTTTTATATATGTACAAGGTAAAAACGCACAGAAAGAGCGTTTTAATCAGCTGTTGCCTGTTGAGCGCTTTCGATGAGGAAGATAACGCGTATTTACAGTTCGTTTGCCGTTTGCTTTTATTCACCCAATTCTTTCATAATTCCGCTAGCGTTCCACTATCATTCAATTGTTGCCTCTTTCCAGTTCTTTTTTGCTTTACATATATATTTTTTTCCCGCTTTGCTGTATTTGTTTACTATTTGTTACTGGCGAACTTGATTGGTTTTTGTGCCGTCGAAAACCAAAGACCGCACCGTACAGCGCAAATTGGGGGCTTGAAAGTACCGCAGACGTTTCGTTCAGATTGAATACTGAGCGCGGGCAAATTGTGGGGCCTACGACGGAGTGAATTCACCAATTTTACGCTCTCTGCCGGCAAAGACTCGCGAGAGAGAGCCCGCCAAAAGCGTGTGGAGGTAAAGCTACCAAAAAGAGAGAGCAAGAGCAAGCACACGGGCGTAGTTTGAGGGGTTCGAGGTGGGCCACCTGCCCAAACAATTGATATTCCGGTCAGACTAAAAGCGAAATTTTTAGACAGTCTCCCAATAAGGCATCACATCTCATAATAAGTGCCAAATGGGACTCCACCAGGCCACCTTACACCTGCGAAACAATCAAGTCTCAGTGACACCTGTAGACCATTCGACTCTTTGGAGGAACATAATGCAGTCTTCCACAAAGCTGTCTCCCAAAAGCTCAAGCTCAGAACCAAGAAAAACTTATACATCTAACCGTTTTTTTTAAAAATACTAACAAATTAAGCTTTGAAGTATTTAAACAAATATTTCAAAAACCTGTCGAATGTGCCAATTAAATTAGTAAAGCAGATATTTGGTAATACTTTTGTCAAATTTCTTAAACTCGCATTTACTTGAAACACACAAAAATGTTAAAAAAAAAGGCCCTTGGGAATTTAATTATTTTGCTTTTTTTGTTTATAAGTGCCAGAAATTTAAATTTAGATTTTGATTCTTTTGATTATTTCTTATTATTGAATTTGAATTTATAATATAAACCGTTCTGCTGCTCAATGTTTTCAAGATGTCCTACAAGCAATTGCTTTTTCCCTTATCAGTTTTGGAATCGCTGCGTTCTAATTTAAAAAAAAAAATCATATTCACTATCACAAGCTGAACAAACCTTTTGTTAATAACGAATGAACCCATTTAAGCCAACAGGCCAACAAGTAAACAAAGATTTCGCACAAAATAAATGTCATTCAAATATCACATCGCATTTGGATTGTTTACTATACTCTCAAATGGATGGGCATCGTAAGCAAAGAATGTAATCAACTCAATTGGAAATATTTGCATTTATAGATACGATAGAACACTTAATTCAAATTCACACTCACAATTGTTATTAAATGCCGAGCAACTGCTCGCGACGCCACTAAAATTCGAACTGAGCAAAATTTGTGACCCGCATGGACCTTATAAAAGATTGCCGAGCAACAATCGCCACTAAATTAACGCAACAAACGACGCTACAAAACGACGAACTGATAATCTTCGTTCACTATCATCCAGAGACCGAAGCAAGTCGAAAGGTGGGTTACATTCTTAGGTCGTCGTTGACTTGGGTGAAAGTACTCGAATGGTTTCCCTCTTTCCCAAGACAATATAACGTGAGAGTATTCGTTGATATTTTAAAGTATAATTAATACTCTAACCAATAGAACACGCGCTTCTAAGCTCAAGGCTTTTCGTGTAAAGCGCATAAAAATGTAAACTGGCAGGCTCATGCTCATATCATTTCAAGTATTTATTGAAATACTTATTAAGATTTGTGTTAAACGTAATAAGAGTTCTGATACTGGATATTTTGAGTGTCAATCGGTTGATGGGCGAAGTAATTACTTATTTTGCAAACGAATTTCATTTTGGGTATCGCGTTAAATATTATTTATTCGTGACAAGCTTTAAAAAGCTTATAAACTTCAACGTTAATCTACATTTAGCGTGTGATGGTCAGAAAAAATATATATAATGTATGATTACAATTTATTTGGTCTTAAATTGTAAGTATTGCATTTGGTTCTTATCAGTTCTCCCCCTTTTTTTGTTGTCAGACTATTATTTATATCCAATTTGAATGTAATTATACTGCAGTTAAGACAATAAAAATATAACATGTTGCTGTTATAAAATAGAACGTCATGCCTAAAGAAACCTCACACTTTATTTTGAGTGTGTAATTATACAATATTTTGCTAACAGTTTATTTTTAATTTTTTTTCTAATCACGTCACTGTTTCCTGTTGAAAGTTTTTTGTGATACAGACTATGGTTTAGACCCGAATTGGGTGTAATTAAATTGCAGTCGAGACGGCAATACAAATGACGCGATATTTGGTGAAACAAACAAATTGCTAATTACGTTATTAAATTATTAAGTTAGGTGCTCCCAACTGACAGATTCCACTCACGTCCTTGGGAATTGTTTGCCTGCCATATGTTCTTATATGTAGGTCTAATTACAAAATGTACTGGATCCATCAGCTTTATTTTTAAAGATAAGAGAAAAAATACATCCAAAACACATAAAAACATAACTTTATAAATATATAGTTAATTATGATTTTCCTAAAGTTTGAAATAACTTAAGCTTTTTCTTGAAACTTTTGGAAACCAAATAATAAATAAAATAACTGTGATGTTAAAATATACAGAAAATTGTCAAATAACAACTATTAATATTCTTTGAAGTAAATAAACTGTTTTGTATATAATTTAGACGTGAAAGAAAATACTTCTCACGTAGATGAATACTTTAGTTGACCTCTTTCCTGGTAAAAGTCCTAATAAAGTACTCCATATGTCGGCATATTTAAGTTTATTTGTAGAAACTCCAGCCCGAGCAAATGTGGTCGAAACGGGCCCCAACGAATCCGCTCCTGGGCAAACAAAAAGCTACTGGCGAAGCAAGAGGCGAAAACAAACGACAACAGATGATCCCCCAGAGAGCGAGAATGGGTAAAGATACCCAAACAAAGAAGAGAGGGAGAATGTATCCAATTTTTGGGGCCACTACTTATGAATTCACCATGTAAGCATGCGGATCAACGCTGGAACAACCCCGCTCAGTGTCGTTTTAGCCACAGAGTACGTCGGTCGAAATGAGCATACAAAACGAGATCAACGCGAAAGTTTTGGCTAAAGATAAACACCGCAACTAGAGGAGCGCAAACAAACGGGCAAAAGCAAATGTTTGACTCATCGTAATTAGATAATTATACCATAATGGACGCAGTGCAGCAGCAAACAAACACCAGCAGCAACATCGACAGCGCCAAATGCCAGAAGCTCAAGAGATTCGTGATCGTCGGCCTGCTGATCACCATTGGCATCTTGAGTTGGCACTTCTACGGTGAGTGTTTAGTGCTCTTCGCTAAGAGAAAGGTCAATGGTTCTTCTCTTAGAGTACTTCCACAGCAAGCCGCTGCCCCGAACGCCGGACGACGTCTTGACCCTCTCCAAGAACCTCTACGCGGAGGAGACTGAGGTCAGTCCGTACCTGTACAAGGTGAATCTCCAGGGGAAGACCACGTCCGGTGCCCACGATGACCGAGCCCCCAAGAAGTGAGTAACTAGAAATGTAAATTTAATTTTGAACTAATTCGTTAGATAAAATGGCGTGGGGTATTTAATTGACACAATTAACCATATTGATACTAGTTGGGGTGATTGTAGATTTAAATTGTTTTTTAATTTAAAACTAAGTTTTAGCATATCTAAAAATAAAAATGAAAGTCTAACACACCTTGTTTTAAACACAACACCCTCGAGACTAAATCAGAACCGAAAATATTTATTTAAATCTTTATTTATTTATTCTTCTGTGGGTGTATTGCGTAAATTTATATAACCTTAAAATCATTTATTGATTTACATAAAATAAGGTTTTAAGCTGCTAAATCCTTTTCATAATTTAAAACCTAGATTAAGCTTACAATGCGAAGGAGAAAATACAATGATAAACAACATGATTTGGTAATAAGCAATTTATTATACAACTTATAATTCCGAGCTTTTTCCATTTTCCAGTCTCTTTGAACTGCACCAGGATATGCTGGCCAGAGATGCCAACTCCACCACCGCCTTACTCATGCGACTCTTCGACAACTATGAGTTGGATGTGGCCGTGGCCGAGCATCCAACTCCGGAGCATGTGCAGGAGCAGCACGATTTCCTGAGGACAGTGATGAACACACGAGTAATGAAGCTGACGATGCGATATTTGGTCAAGAAGGGTAAGCCTGTCCCATATCTTAATACTACACTTAACTAACTCCTTAATCCCTTTAAGACATTGTGAGCATAGAGTACGACGATCAGTTGCGTCTCCTCCAGGAACTTTGGTTCACTCCGTACTCCAGAGGTCGTGGCATCGTGGGCAGCTCCAGCTTTGAGCACGTTTTCATGGCCGAAATCCGAGACCAGAAGGTCCTGGGCCTGCATAATTGGCTCTACTTTGCTGATCAAGAGCAGCGTGGCAATGTGGACTACAAGGGATGGTTGAGCCATAAGGAAATGGGAAAGGTAACCAAAAGATCCTTAATATTGATACTTATTTAAGCCCTTTTTAAACAATTTTCAGCACAACCAAATGCTGCTGAGTTTGCGGCATACGTTCCACAACATAAGGAAACCTGTCAATGGCTTCTTTGTGGGCACCTCACCCGAGCTGGAGATGAGTCTGTACACCGCCTGCTTCCTGACCACGGCGGAGGCGGAACCCTGCCAGATCCAGCTGGGCCACGCCACCGCCTCGATTGTGTCCCATGGATGGAACTGGAACGGCATGCGCCTGATAGCCACCGCCTATCCCGACAGCTCCTAGATCATCGCCCTCGCCCTCCACCATCTTACGCAAACTCAATTAAATTGGCTACATTCGTGTCGCAAAGCTACCTCATCAGAAAAGGCAAAACACTAACCTCCAAACTCAAAGTCAAGTTCATTTTATTTTGGCACTTTATGAGTGCTTGGCCCAGTTGTCGGTGGCAATTGGCAAGCACGTCAGTCAGGACATTAAGAACATCCGTCTGCCTATCATTTAAGTTGTTTTGACAGCATTGCGTGGCTCAAGGAATTTGCTCTTACATCATGAAGTTGTTTATTAGTTCTAACATTAATAGTTATTACTGGCGGACGTTAAGCAAGTGGAAAAGTCAATTATAATGAAAGAGAGTAAAAGTGATTGCGACGCTTAAGTATTATGCAAACCGGCTTCACATTGGCTAGATTTCTATGCGGCATAAGTGGTCTGGGTCTTTATTTTAATTACAGTGAGTTTGGCCTTTCATCCAACTATAAAGACTTAATAGAGATTATCTAAAACATATCAAACAACTGCAACTTGATTTCCCCTTTTAAAAGACCCTCAGTGAGCATACCTCAAACTGTAAATACAAATAACAATCCTATTTTGATTTATAATTTGTTTATTAGATAAAAAACATGAATTTCCTTTCAGTGATTAATCCTGGAACACATGAGTAGAAGTACGTATGTTGACTGAAGAAACTGTTGCTGGAGAACTCGGTGCTGCCCCTATTCGTGACGCTCGATGGTGACTGTTTCGTTGGCAATGTCCGCCTGCTGGACCACGGCCGGAGCACTCGACCTCCTGGCCGTGATGATGGTGGTGTGGGCCGGGGACAAGCTCTCCTCCTCTCTCTGTTCCTCCCCCGAACCCCCGTCGTCGACCAGGACTAAAAAGGTCTCGCTGAGATCCGCCAGCTCGGAGCAGGTCTCATCGTTGGACGAACGCATCAGGCTAGGACTACTGATGGAGCACTCCAGCGGCAGGCGATCCTCGCAGCCGGGACTCCAGCTACTTCTTGCCGGCGGCTGACGCGGCAGGCTGTTGTGGCACAGCGGATTTTCCGCCGGCGACTGCTCCAGCCGCAGCTGCTGACCCCACAACTCCACTGCCCGGGCGCGATTGTGGTCGGCTCGTTGCTGCTCCTGCTCCTGCTCCAGCTGATGTTGCTGTTGGAATGGCTGGTGTTGGTGCTGCTGCTGCTGCAGTTCCTCCTGCTGTTGCTGCTGGTGGGGATGTGAGGCCCGCTGTCGCCGCTGCCAACGACGGTGGCGATCTGTTGTAGTCCGTGGACACTCGCTGAGGTGCAGCTGGCGTTTGGTACTGGGACTGCGGCTGCGACTGTGGCTGACTGGCAGCGGCGCCTCCTGGCGTGGCGTCATACTGGTATCCAGACTGTCCATATTCACCAGCACCGTAGTCGTATCCGGCCCCGGTATCGCCGTAGTCGTACTGCTGCCCCTCGTACTGCTGCTGGCCATAGGCGCTGGGGTCGTAGGCACTGGCATCGTACTGCTGCTGATCGTAGGCACTGTAGTCGGTGTTGTAGGCGGCCAGATTGGCGCTGCCGGCACTGGTAATGTTGCTCTCGTCCAGCAGTTGTTGCTGCTGTTGCTGCTCCGCCTGCTGCTGCTGCTCGGCCTGTTCGCGCTCCCGCTCCCGCTCGCGTTTTTCCCGCTGCTCCCGCAGTTGCTGGAGCTCCCGGTCGCGCTCCTCCCGCTCGCGTTGCCTGTCCAGGTCCTGCTGTTGTTGTTGCTGCTGTTGCTGCTTCTCGCCCAGGCCAAGGTTGTCCTTGAGATTCTCGTCATCGTTATCCTGGAGTCCATAGTCGGCGATGCTGCTCTTGCGACCAGTGACTCCTGATCCTGCTCCTGCTGCAGCTGCTCCGGCTGCAATGCTGGCTGCGGCGGTGGCCGCTGCCGAGGCAGAGGCAGAGGCAGTTGCTCCATCGACCAGGCCAATTCCGGCGGACGTGTAGTCGTCGTCGCTGGCGATGTTGTGTGGTTGTGGGGTGCTTTGTATGGGTTCGATTGGGGTGCCATATGTCGCTGCCTGGTAGTCGTAAGCGGCTGTGTGAGTACAAGAATTTTGGTTAGAGTGGCTCGCCAATCGAATGCTGTCGGTGTGAAAGTGGAGTCTGGGTGTGATTGGGTCTAGGTTTGATCTTTCCCGGGCAGTTCCGCCTCCGTGACTTCGGCTTCCGGCTCTGATGGGGTGGTGAAATCAGTTTAGAACAAGGGAATATGTATGGGCAGTGCTCTACTTGGTCAGTTATCCCCATTGGGGCATTTACCTTTTCCAGGAACTAAGCTAGTAAAATCATGTGGTGAGCTATCTAATTTACTCATATGCTCCTCATTACTCAACATGCGATTGGATAGATATTCTAGATTCGATTGTAAAGCAGATATTTCCTCTCTTCAAGGTGGTGAAAATACAGGGATAGATACAAAAGGAGAGAAAGAGAAAGACAGGTAGACAAGCAGAGGGAAGAAAGAAAGAGGGAGAACCATATTAGTCGAATACTGAAGAGCGTCCTTACCGACGGGGATTCTAATGGGTGCTCGTCCCGCGTGTCCTTGGAGCCCGGCTCGGGGGATCCCTGGTGCATTGGCAGTTGTGACTTGTACTTGCCCCAGATCTGTCTGAGGCGTGACATCAGCTGCTCGTTTGTGGCACGAAGCTGCTGCTTCTCTAGACTGAGGTTCAACAAAAACAGTAATTAAATTAGGACAAATAAATAGCCCACTTAAATAATAACGAATTAAATGCTTTAGTTCTAGCTTACAAAATTTGCTGTATAAAAGTAAATGGTTGCGTTAAGTAAATGCCTTAGACTTTTAAAGCTTTATGTGACCATTTAAAAAAATTAAAAATACATTTTTGTTGAGCTATTTACTTAATCCATTTAAAAAAGTTTGCTTTTTTAAGAGTATCTAACATAGTTTACATAGTTTCTAAAATCACCAGTGTTGCGAAAGGTACTAATTATTTGGATCTAGATACCTAAGTATGTATCTTCCAACACTGGAAATTGCAGATATAAAATTGTATATAAACTCTAAAAGCAGTCATAAAATGGATTAAATACTAGTATACCCAAATAGGTTTTCCCTAGGCATATACCTTTAACTTAAGACTATTTTGTGGCTTAAAAAAACACTATCAAAGCTTGGTGGCCTGCTCCTGCTCCTCCGCCTCCTCGTCCTCTTCCTCGTGAAGCTCCCGATCTCGATCGTTTCGTTCCAGTTCCGCCAGCTGCTCATCGATGTGCGCCAATTCCGGCGACGCATCCTTGACAAAGGTTTCGTTCAGGGCATGGGCCACCTCGTCCACCTCCTTGACGAATGTCTCGTTTAGGGAGCGAGTGACCTTGGGCTTGGCCTGTTTGGGCACCAGCCTCACGTTGACATCCACTTTGACCGGAGGGCGTGGCTTTTTGTGGCAGCCATCGCGCCGCAGCAGTTGCTCAAAGTACAACTTTGGCTTGATGCTGGCACTCAGGGCATTGCCGCCGGGACCTCTGCAGACGGATGGTGTTGCATCCGCGCATGTTGCTGCCGTGCCATCAGCGTCCACCGTCAAGTGTTGCACCTGACACGTGGGCTGGCAAACAGGGGCACTGCTCAGGGTCTGGTTCAAAACTAGATGCTGTTGCAGCCAGGGCAACGGCTCCGTTTTGCAGGAGTGACAGCAGCCAGGCTGATGTTGCTGTTGCTCGGCGGTGTTACTGTTGCTGTTGCTGTTGCTATTGCTGGTGGTGCGATGGTGCTCGTGTTGGTGGTGCGTTTCTAGGGTGGACTGGCTGTGCGTGGTTTGTGTACGCGCTTTTCTGGCCGATGTTGCTGCTGGTCTGCTGCCGTTGCGACCGCGGCAACATGCAACACTCGTCTCGCCGTTGCTGTTGCTGCTGCATGCGCTGCTGCGTCTGCGCAACGTGTGGATGTGCTCATGCTCGTGTCTGTGTCGCATGAAACTGGGGCAAAAGCATTTGGTTTTGGATGTGGCTGATGTTGCTGCTGTTGGCGCCGATGTTGCTGCTATTGGAGATGATGACTCTGCCCTGTTTCTCTGCTTCCTGTAGCTGGAAATCTTCGGCAGAGGCGGCATTTTGGCCAACTCCTTGGCCAGGCGCTCATTGCTTCGGATTATGTTTTGCAGGATCTCATCACCATCGACGACAGCAACATCAGCGGTACAAGCAGCTACTTCAGTAGCCACATCTGCTGGAAAATCGGTCAGTTCCAAATCAGGCAGCAAAGTGAACTCGTTTGCGCTTTCTTTTAGTGTTGTTGCTGTGGTCAAAGGCTCGCTTGTTGTTGGCATCACAAGATCGCAAATTGGTTCTAATTACCATGACAATTGCGTGGCAGGCAGGCAGGCAGCAAAAGAAAGGTTTGAAGAAGTACAAGTACAGCGTGTTAATCCAGTCTCAAGCTAGGTCGAGATGTTTATGTTTTTCTTTTGCTTTGGTGTGGAACGAATCTCGGAAAAGAAAATTGGTGTTCACAGAATACTGGTGGGAACTTTGGATTTGCCTTGAATTTCATATTGCGCTGTGCGGTGATTTCCATATGTCAACAGACTTTTAATCAAATATTCACATACCGTTCTATTGGGTGTCTTTGTAATTAAGAGGTGACTGAATAACTAAATCAAACTGCAAATATCTTATATTTTAAATTTAAACTATCATATATGGATTTCTAAAAGCCAAGTAGATTTTCAGTTGCAGTTTTGCTCGGTGATTAGCTTAGGTTATTTTGTTTGATCATAATTACTTGTGCTTGTAGGTCGTGTCCTCTAGTTTGCCCGTCAGGGTCTTACACTCGTTCGTCAGTTTATCCATGAGTTGCTTCTGAGATGTAATCATTTCCTCAAGCTCATTTACCGTTCCCGCTACAAACAGACATTGAACGGTTTAGTTATGTGGATATATATTTTGGTATGGGACTACATGCAACGCGCTACAGAACAAAACTCATGGATAAACTATTGAACATTTCTCTGTAGGTAATTTTGAGTTCGAATCTTTGGAATGTCTTTAAATTTTTGTTTCGTTTTTAATGGCACACACGCAAAACACAATAGGAGCTTCAATAGCTTAACCAGAGTTTATAGTAAGGATACTGATAGAGTGAAGAACGTGTGGATAGATAAAAGTGAATTTGCTTAAAGGCTAGATCTTAATCCACTTACCATGCTTATCCTGCATCTCTGAGATCCGTTTGTCCAGGTCCTTTTTGGTGGGTCGTATCTCGTTCTTCAGCTCTCCATAAGCAAGCTGTAAGAATAAAAATGTTTATAGATAATAATAGCAAGCAAAGTCCCTTTTATTGTATATTACAGTTAATTTATACGATTTAATAATTTATTAAAATCAAAAGTTGGAGTATACTTTAAAATGATTTTTATAAATGAATGAAAATGTAAATTTATAAAATGAATACCAATTATACTTGTACTTAGTTTCTTTCCATAGTTATTTATATTCCTAGATACGCTTTTTCCTACTTTAAGCTACCTACCTCCTTTTCCAGGTTTGCTATCTCGTCGTTTAGCCGAAGGACCTCCCGTTTGGAGTGCAGAAGATCGGCATCCCCGCGGTCCAGTCGCTGCCGCAAGGAGTTGATCTCGGCGTTGAGGCGAGCCGCCTCCGTCTTGGTTTCCCTGGCGGCCCGGTCCAACTGCAGACGCAGCGAGGTGATGTCCTGCTCCAGTGATTGCTTCTCCGCATTCACCTGCGCCATGTCCGCCAGAAAGGTGGTCCTGTTGGCTCTCAGCTCCATTTTGAGCTCCTCGATCTGGGAATTGCGACTGGCCACATCCCGCTTGAGATCGGTTTCGTAGCGCTTCTGGCGCTCCAGGTCTAGCTGCAGCTTGGCCACCTGCTCCCACTGGCAGCTGAGATCGCCGCCCAGCTGGTCCACCTGGCTGTTGTAGCGCCGCTCGGCACTGGCCCGCTCCTCGGCCAGTCGCCTGGCCATCTCGTGCTGCAGCTCCCTGACCCGCTCGTGCTGGCGGTCCAGCTCGTCCCGGAGGTGGCGCACCTCCAGCTCCGCCTGCGAGCGCTCCATCTGCACCAGATCGCTGATGTAGCGCTTGGAGGAGGCACTTCCCTGGCCCTGGGCCTTGGCCTCGTCCAGCAGTCGCTGCAAGTGGCGCACGCTCTCCTCAAGACTCAGCTTGTCCTGCTGCAGGCTCTCCAGCTGTTTGCGGTGCAAATCGCAGTTGGAACTCCCTGTTAGGGTGGACACAGTCGACAGGGGATCGGTGTGAGCCAGCTTCCGCTTGAGTTCCTCGTTTTCAGTGCGCAAACGTCGGAGATCGATGCTGGCCTGCATCAGCTCGGCTTCCAGTTCGCTAATCCTGGCCTCATAGACGATATTCGGGGCACTCGCATAGCGAGGACTCTGCACCTGACCCTTGCAGGCACCCTTTCTCGGAGTCGTTGGTGTCTTGCGTCCACTGGCGAACACCAAATGCTCGTCACTATCCGAGGAGGGACTCGTGGTGGCAATCGGTGGCTGGCACTTAGCCGAACCAAGAGCCACCAACTCGGAACGAGCATTCTCCGTCAGCTGCTCGTTCTCGTTGATCACATCCTTGACTTTGCCCAACAGATTGGTCAGCTCATTGCGACAGTACTTGGACTCCTTTTCCAGCTGCTCAATGTAGTCCTCTTGCTTCTCGATAAAGCTGAAGATCTCCACCGGAGCCGGCACACTATCCGAGGGAAGAGGAGCAGCGGGAACGGAGGAGCTGCTTGGGTAGAGAGCCGGAGTGGTAGCTAGATTCTCCTTGGAAGCCGAGAGATAGCCCGAGGTATAGCTCTTCTTGGGGCGATACGAGCTAATCCGCGTCTTCTGGCTGGGCGACAAGTACTTGGAAATGTCCGAGAAGACGGGACGCTCAATTACCTAAAAAAAAGAGAATGTTTAGGAAATCTGTTAAACGCCTGTTCGTTGCCAACCCACCGATAGGTTGTCGGAGAAGTTGTCCCCGGAATCCTCGTTGAAGTTGCGCAAATACGAAGACACACCTCCTCCCAATTTTGGGGCCACGTAGGAATTGTCGGCCAGCATCACCTTTAGACGGCCCACGGCCTCGTTGTAGGCGTAGTTGGTGTAATCCATGGTCTTGCTTTTCTTGCTGATGCCCCCCTTCGAGGACTTCATCGGGAAGTTTCTAAAAATTTAGCAGGAGAAAGGACACATCTGAGATCACATTTTTACAAAGAATTCGACTAGAGAACGGAGTTGCTCGGCAGCTGAAAAGGAAAACGGAACTGAGCACGGAACGAAAAAAGCGAAACTGAGGCTGTCCTTTTGGGGTGACAATTGGAGTTAGTGTGATAGTTGTTGCCAGGACGACAGGTTGGCCAAAATACAAATTTAACCCTGCTCCTGTGGCCGAGTGCATGCGTCATGGTTGAGCAAACACCTCTGCAGGGGTTGTTAAATCCTGGCCACCCTACAGCAAGTGCCTTTAGATCCGCGAGAAAAACGGATAGTTCATTAAAATCTATCTATAAGGACTGTCATATATTAAATGGGGTAATTAAATTGGGCAGGAGATTTAGAACTAAGCCAGATTTCAAAGTTTGCTTTTTTTTAAGTTTGTTTATGTCGCAATCAATCAGAACACAATTCTGAATATTACAATAATTATAAGGAGAATGATGCAACACCCACTTTTCCTTAAATTAGTTTTTAAAAAAACATAAGAAGGTAGATATTTGAAATATGCAATTCTTTAAAATGTTTAATTTTGAATGTCTGAAAATTTAATTAAATCAAGTTTAAATTAAACAAAATGCATTTATGTCAAATTGGAACTATTTTCAATCTAACATTTTCATCACTTATAGAAATATTTTATTATTAAGGAATGCAATCTAATAGGCATTGTTTTTTTAAATTATAATTTATATTAAGTTTGAATATTATATATAAAATTTTGAATTCGATTGTCAGTGTAGTGTACTAATTTTCTTTTTGCCTTAGCACACGGACATTGCAACCTTTGACTGTTATGTAATTGTTTTGTTTTTGAGAAGAAGCACTCGAGATAAACTGCTTTTGTCAGTTTTATGTTGAATGACTGCGAGGACAACTACTTTAAGCAACATCTTAGGACAGCTTGAAAGTTTGAGCAACCACCCCCTTCCGCCCGAAGGATTACCTTGATCGCCGCTTAATCCGACCACCCGCACTGCTCACGCTGGCGAGGCTCTCCCGGTCCGAGTATCCTGTGCACCGCTGCTGGGTGAGATGACGCAGGTCGTCGCTCGTCAGCAGCGAGGACGATGTCAGATGGCCGATGTTGCTGGCGTGGGCTTGCGGTTGGTTCTGCGAGTGACTCCGTGCACTTTTCGGTTGGTACAAAGGGGCGCCGTACTTGAAGAAGTTGTCTGCTTTCATTTTACTCAGGCGAAGGAGCCAGCAGGGGGCATGGGGGCAACTTGGCTAAAAGTTTGTGGCACAATTCAACATGCAACTCGGCGCTGGGGCAGGGGAATCACTTGTGGTATGCACTTCCTTCCGCCTTGCGGTCTGCACTTTAATTGTTTCTTTGTTTCTGCGAAAGAGTGAGCGACAGGACGACAGGACGACGACGCGATGAAGTTGAACTGAAACGGCCGTAAACACCAGTCGGAGCTTTTATAGACTCGGTCGGCCCAATTGGACTCCCCATCCCCCGACCACGGGTATATGGTTTAGTGTGCCTTGGTAATGGGTTTGGTGCCACGTCGTGCCCTGTCAGCGAGATTCCAAAACACTCCCATTAGCATTTCCTCCGCTGCAATGCATTTGTCGCCATGGCAGCCCTGCGATTCGGGGGGCAAGTCCTGGAATCTCTCCGGTTTCTGGCCAGTCACCTGTTTGATCGATACCGAAGGGGAACTCGTCAATGCACTGGAGACACGCTCATTTGTGCCAATATTTGGTCATATATGTATATATCCCCCACTCCGCTCTTTTGGGTTGTTCAACTCTGGGACTGTCTTTGTAGCAGAATCGAGGCCAAAAACGTTTTCATTGCATATTTTACAGGTTCTTAACTGGGTTTATGTCTGCAGTTATATTTAGTTGTGAGGTTCTTTATTTAGTGCTAGGCTTGCCCTTAGCTGAAAGTATTTAATTAGAAACAATTAATATGAGTGAGTTGTTAACAAGGTCATAGTGTCACAGGATATACAACTAAGTTGTTAGTAGATGAAAAGCAATGCATGCAACGAAAAGCTTGTCAGGTTTCTTAATAGAAAGCGCCTGCAAGTCACATTTCAATCCAGGTAACAAAATAAAGTTTTAAAGTTTAAAGACTTGTAATTAACTATTTTGGGTTCCTTAATTTGCAGACTGAAAAAATAATATATGGCATATTTTATAATTAATTAAAGGCCACTAAACTTTTAATACATAAAATGAGAGACAAATGCAATAATATATCGGTAAAAATTTTATTTTTGCTCTCTATAAAATATTTAAAACAAACCTTTACAGAAACCTTTGTTTAATTTCAACGAGTAAGATTCATTGAAGCTATCTTTTTCCAACATATATAGTGAGTACTCACACCGAATTCTTGACTATTAAGTTTCAGAATTCAGCTGCCAGGGGCCAGCTACTGCCACATGTGGCCAACAATTGATTGTCGATGTTCCTATAACTTATGGCAAAATCACAGACATTTAATAGTCCAAATAACTCAGGCTCGGTAGCCGTCGATGCAGCAGCTCCCAGCAACCCTCCGACCCAACATTACCCTCCCCAAGCTCCAAGCTCGCCCGATCGGGCGAATCGAGGCAAACCCATCCCAATCCCAAGTGCAGCCACACAATCAATCAATGCAATCTCTGTTATCATGAATAATTTCCTAGCGGGCAAATGCACAGCAGCAACGGCGGCAGCAGCAACAATTGCAGCGGCAGAGCCAGAAACCCTTTTGGCCAAAAAAAGGGCAACAAATAAACCATTTTCCTGCACACTTTTAGACCTTTACCATATATTATCAGCTTCTTGCGATTTAATTACCCTGGCCATGGAAAACAGCAGCAATAGCTACAACAATAAGAGCAGCAGCAGCAGCAGCAGCAGCAACAGCAGCAGCAGCAAGCAAAATTAACCCTCTGAGATAAACGCATAATTCCGTGTGCAAAAATCTGCAAGACAATTCATAAACATAACGTACACGAACCCAGTCTCCCAAGTGGCCGTGTGTGTGCGAGCCTTATCGATCGTGGTCAAGAGCAGCGGCAAGAGGCCAGAGTCGGAGCCTGAGCCCGAGCCCGAACCATGTCCAGTCCCAATCCAAGTTGGAAGCCCTCGGGGCGCTCTCAGCAATTTTCATTGCTCCAGCTCTGGCAACAGCAACAGCTACAACCACACGGGGAAAAATATATGAACTATGGTATTATGAACTTCCTTGCAAGTAAGCTTATAAATTCAACTGCAGAACTGTTGCTCAGATCAGATAACTAATTTTCAAAATTAAACATTTGTATCACATAGGTATCTCTAAATTTTATTTTAAACTTAGCAAATTTTATAAAACTTGTGTGGTACATTCTAAAAAAGTATTATTGGTCAAACAATCCTAGCCGAATAGGAATAACAAATGCTTTTTTCGAAGAATTATTTTAGATCCTGTTCGAAATCAATATTAATTCTAATAAAAATATTATTTTACTTGAAACACTATATTTATTTATGCGATAGCTATATATATTTAATAAAGTCATAAAAGTTTTAATTTTATTTTAGGATCTTTAAAAACATGTGTACCTTTAACTTAAGGTTTCAGATTAAAAGATTTCCTCATTTTTTTTGCATTGTAAGTTTTCCTTAATTTTTCTCTGCGCAAAGCTGCAGCTCGAGCTCTCTGCTGTGATCGTTGTCGCGATTTGTTGGCCCGGTCGTCCTCCGACTTGCTCTGATTCTGCGCCCAACAACAGAGTGGCCCGGTCCGCTTGCATTTGCTGCCGGCGTCGCAGCCGCCGTCGCCGAGGCAGCGGCCTTAGCTATTTACAACACTGCATTCCTGCGCCGCAGTCATTCAAGAAGAAGTTAAGAGCTGGACTGGCTGAAACGCAGCAGCAGGCCGAGAGCGGACCATCGCCGAGCTGAGCTGAGCTGTCGAAGGCGAAGTAGAAGTCAAGCGCTGAACTTGTTTCATGCCACTTGGGCTTAGTGTGTGCCCGATCCCCTCCATACCAAGGCCCCCCTCCCTTGGCCTCTTAAATGCTGTAATAAGCCAACAACAGCGGCCAGAAAACATGTTTATGAAAAGAAAGAAATTCCATTGCAAACAAAAGCGGGAGGGAGAGGGCAAGAGGCGTGCGCTGCGCATGCGCGCCTGTAATCCAGCTCACACACACACACACACACACACACACACACACACAGGCGCACCCGTGCGTGCTCTTAAGCCTCTTTTTTCAACTTTGCTAGCTGGGATCTTAATGGCTCTCCCATTGCGCCTCTCTTCTCGTATGCCAGTTTAGCCCACAGGCATATTTAGTTATGCCATGGTGGAAAAATGTTTGCAAGCAACGCAGTTAAGCAACAAGAACGTAAAAGTAGCACAACATGTTCAACAGGCGGTGGATTTTAATGGGGGTGGGGGGAAGCCAGGAGTTTTAATTTAAGGTGAAATAACTTAAAACTGTGGTGAAGTAGGTTCTTCATTTTGAAATATTTAAGAACCTCACAACTTTTAATATTTAAATCTCCATCTCTCAGATCCTCTTAAACTTAAGCAACTACTTTGATTTGCTTGACTTACGGTTGAAGGAGAATTATAGAAAAGCAGCCAAATTCATTAACACTTTTTACTATATTACTGGGTAAACAAGGTTTTTTTTAACTCAAAGCCACTTAGTAGAATTCCCCCGCCTTTAGGTATGCAACACTTTGTTTAACAAGGAATCTCAAGCTATTGTGGGTTTTCTTACATAAATATATTTTCTGTTCTATTTTTATAATTCATTAGTTTTTCAATATTTAGATTTTCAGAATTCAATTTTCAACTTTTAAATTCAACAAGTTCGTTACCTAAGTTTTTTGATTTTTTCGCCTGGCAATGCCAAACATATGTATGGTGGGTTACTCTGGTGGATTTGTACCGTGACCAAGAGAGCAGCTAGCTCTCTTTGCGGTCGGTAGGCTATGAAGACTCTGCAGCACGACTCGCACAGTCAATTGCCATTTACCTGTCGACGGATCCGGATCCAGTGCCCGCGTCCAGGTGTCGTCGAAGCGGACCAAATCGAACCTCAAGGCGCCGCTCTGCGTTGCGTGCCTACGTGTCCTAGGTGTGCGTGTGTGTGGGACAGAGTGCGCGAGTGTTGGTGCCGTGAGTCAGTGAGCAGGGAGCGCTAAAAAAGATAACACAAAGAGTAGAGCCACAGTAAAAGATCGAAGCGCACACACTCTCATGCGACCTGCAATGAAAATAAAGTAGAGAAAAGAGTGTGCCAGTGTCAGTGTGTGTGAGTGGTGGAATAACAGAGAAAATAAATGACAATTAAATGAAGCTGCAAAAACTGCCAAATAAACAAAGTGCTATGCGATGCATAAATGAAAACCCGAATGGAGTTACCTGTATAATCATCAAGGTAGAGCAGGCGATCACAACTTATTAAATTGCAATTCGAGATTCTGGTTTTCAGGCCTCTCTTTCGATCTTTCCCTCTTTTTCTCTCCTGCTCTCTCTCTACTCTGTATGGCTTCAAAGGCATATATTTTTTAGTTTTCTTTATTAATATTGCACGATCGTAAAACTTTAATGGAATTATTCGTACGCCCATTCCCCGTGACACCACGAAAAAAAGGAGGAAAACTCTCGACCCCAAACCAGTTACAAAAGTTGTCACATTAAAATCACACCTTTGGAGATATATATATTTATTGTTGTTGCTGCTGCACCACTTTGGCATATAACTCGTTCGCGATACAACCACCGATGCAGCCTCAGATTCAGATTCAGATGCACATGCAGATGCAGATACACCCTCTCGGCCAGCGGTTGCATGCAAATTATACATGTTGAGGAAGTCGGGATCTCTCGACTGGTCATTAACTCAACTAGGAGTTGCTGCAACGGATATGTTTATGGCCAACTGATTGAATTTCATCCTCACACAAACACACACAGACACAAACACGGACGGCATCTATCGCCTGGCAATTATCCGCGGAACGACTTTCCTTTTTCCCCCGCTAAAATGCCCATATTCATATTTTTCCCGGAATTCTACAGTACATAAATAGATAATTCCTAGCTCTTTGGCACACATGTTGGCCAAATGTTTTCGGCTCTTCACATCATTAGCAAAGTGCCCGAGGGTTTGCCCCTGTAGTTCGGTTAGCTGGAAACCATATTCCGAAAACAGAAACCGAAACAAGCAGACAAATTTATTATGTCTGGCTTCACCCTTGTAATTTCTGCATGTTAAATGATTACAAATTGGTCATTTGATATCACAACATTTTGGCATTCGTGTTGGGGTCGCACTTTCCCAGCCAGCGGCGAATCGAAAGCGGCCAAAGATCGCCCGTTTACTCGTGCATTTACCAACAATTTCAAATATTTCCTCCATAAAATGTCAACATATGCGCATTGCAATGACAGGCCAGCAAGACAGCAAGCGAGCCACTTGGCCATTTGGAGAGGCAATGCAATCCACAATCCAGCAGTCAGCCATGGCCCGCAGCCCAAATCAAAGCCAAAAAGCTTTCAAGCCAAAAGGCTGCCGCCATCGCCGCCGCACCATGGAAAAGCCACTCGCCGATTTCATGAGGTTTTCAACATTTTTTTCCTTGTTTATTTCGTATTTTTATATTTTTAACTCCCCGGCTGGGATCCATTAACTGCGCAGAGGACCTTGGACAAACCATTTTAAATATTTAAAACATGAAACATTGCTTAGGAAATCATTAAAACTCTGTATTTAAATGTAAATCTTAAATTACATTTATCTTTAAGTTATTTATACTCACGATATTTATATTTTTTTATTAAATAACATTTGTTTATGATTATTTCGTTCAGAGACTAATGACCCCAGATTGCGACATATACTTGTAGTTCAAACTATCTCTATATTTATCACATGTTGCTTTTATGAAAGCGACTGAAATGGGCTAGAAAACCAACCAAATATAAAGCATTTAAATATTTTTGACATATAATATTACCAAAGAATTTATAAAGAAATAGATTGGTTAACTATTAACTTGGTTTATATAATTTTGACTGTCTTACAGCTGAATATTACTTTATGTTTTCCTAGGTCAAACAGTTCAACCTGTCATATATATGTTTGGATCTAAATGTACCCAAGATGTAACCCATTTGAAGATTGATAACATATTATATTACCAAAGAATTTAAACAGCAATGTGTTGGTTAAGTTGATTGAAAGGTTGTAGTTGCTGACTGGCCTTAAGCAGAAGTAATTACATTCTTATGTTGCTAGATAATCTGATGTAGTTAACAAAGTTTATAGTATTCAATCTGTTAATTAATCTTTTATTTTTATTGCAACAGAAAACAGAGGTTTTGTATATAGTTAGTCCCCCCTACTTTGACCTAGCTTCCACAGAGTATTTCCAGTTCGATGTAAACCTCAGGCTAATCGACTTTCCTTTCTTGTCCGCAACTCTTGTTGTATGTCTCCCTCCGCTGTGTGAGTACGGGTATTTATGTGTCTGTTTGTATGATTTCATAGCTCTTGCAACAGTGCAATCAGCAAATACTAAAATGCAATGCGACGTATTTTTTATTATTTATTTTTTCCTTTATTTTCATTTTTTTTGCGTTTTGTTGTTTTTGTTGTTGTTGTTGTTACTGTTATATTGTTTTGAAGCCATAGCTCGCCGCGAATCGTGGCCAAGAGAGCTGGGTTGTCGCAGTCGCAGTCTCTCACGCCACAAGCGACAGTTTTGTATTAGAAACGGCAACTTGTAGCTGCAGCTAGTTACGAGCTTGACGATTACCTGGCTGCGGGGGGAAAGGGTGGTGTGCGGGAAGGTGGAGCGATACAGGTGGGCAGGGGGCGGCGGGAGGCACTGGAATGTTGTTTCTGCTGCTAGTTGGCAATGTTGCCGAGTGACTGACATAGTTGCTGCTTCAGTTGTAGTTTCAATTGCTGCTGTTGCTGTTGTAGCAGGGCATTGCAGGCTGAACTTTAAAATTAAATTTGTCAAACAATTTATGTGTAGCATATTATATGGCAAAAACAGCTGAAGTTGTCTATGCGGGCGTCTTTTGGCTTTTTGCTTTTGGTTATGCGGGCCACCAGAGATATAACCTGTTTCGCTCTCTTTCTCGCCGGATTCCCGAGTGAAAAGTGGCCAATACTCAGAGACAAAACGGTGCTTTTCTCTTGCACTTATCACTTGATCAACGCTATCCCTCTCTCTCTCTCTGTCTCTCTATCTGTCTCTCTTTAATGAAATGTAATTTGAAAAATTGCGCGCGGCAAATTGTTGGCTTCTTGTTAGAGAGATCTCGTTGTCTTGCACAGAATCTCAAATATTTTGTCTTAATTAAAATTTTCCGATCTCCCTGTCTCTTTTTGGCAGCGCACCAGGTCCGTCTCTTTTCGAAAAGTCGGGCAACGCTTTTAGATAAATTAACTCTGACATTTGGTCCGTCAAGCATTTGTCGCTTTTTGCATTTGCCCGACATTTTTATTGGACTTTGACTTGGATTTGGCCTGGATTTATGTGTTTCTGATTCGGGTATCTCGACTGTGGGGATCTGGAGATTAGCCGTGCCATCATTCACGTCCGCAATTGTGTTGGCCCCGTCAACGTCAGCGCTGCCCCTGGAACAGCATGTAATTTGCAATGAGCTCGCTTCGTTTCTGGGTTTCATTTTGTGATTTATTTTGCCTCCGCTGGATGTTTAAATTTGGCTTAAGCCTCGCTTTACCTACAGTTGCTGCCAAAAGTTATTTTCGGGACCATGGGCAGAACCAAAGACTCAGGCAACGAACTGGCTCGCCTGGAATTTGAATTATTCTTGAGTCGGCTGGGAAACTGGCCAAGAATCTGTCTTTGATTGATGACAGTCTCAATGTTTCAATCGTCGGTGCTCCTCTTCACGGTTGTTATGTTCACGGCCCATTATATAAGATTCGGTTTAATTAGTTCGACTAAAATCGGCGCGTTCTACTTTAATGGCTTGGGTGAAATTTTAGTTACAGATAATGACGAAAGAAATGGCACAAAGCCATTAAATAAATTTCACAAAAAATAAAGAGCAGCCAAGTTTAATTTTGATGGATAGAGCGTAGTAGTCGCGAAATCAATTTATATAAATATTAACCATTTTTTTTCACTATCAGATCAATCAGCGCTCAACAAAAATGAGCGATGGCAAATTGGAAATCTAAACGAGTTTTTCCACAGTCACTGAGCACTGAGCAGCTTCCTGAGAAAGTTTTTTGCCTAAGTAATTGAGATTGCAGAATCTACAAATTGAAACTAAATTCCAATAATTTACAGTTACCGGGGCTGAGATATATCCTCAGATATCGCATAACTTTGAGTCAAGCTCAATGCTCTAATTAATTCCGCTACCACAATGAATGTTCATTCGTTCCATTCAATACTTTCTACCAGATCAATCTCTTTCCCCAACTCCGCATCTACGGCCTATTCAAATGGAACCTTTATAATGAATGCCTATTTATACATGCATTGGTAAATATATAGCCCATTTCAAAACGCCGCCCATACATATTTAATAATACAAAACACATTCTCCTCTCTTTCTTTTTGCAAAAATTTCAAATTCTTTGTGAACTGTGTCAACTTTCAATTCTTTTCATCTTTTAACATTTGCATAGAGACAACAGAAACACGAGGAGGAGCCACAGAAGTGGAGTTCATTTAACTTAAGTGAACGGTTAACCAAATTCAGCTGCTGCTGTTGTTGCGCCAAATTAAATGTGTTAAAATAAATATTTAGGCAACGCTTAATTGCTGCAGAATGCCATAAAATAAATAAAATGCAGACTTTTTATAGGTAGTAAGTGGGTAAGCCAGTTTTTAAATGATGTTAACTCTGCTTAATATTATTAATTGCAAAATATTCGCCGATAAATTTACTTGATGAATAAAACAATGTTTAATACAAATACATTGTATACGCTTTGTGGTTTATTTATACGGTATTTAAGTTAAGACTTTTATTTGGTTTATTAATTCACCTATAAAAGCTGGTTGATATTCTTACCTTTTGCATTTATCAAGTAACAAGCGAGTCCCACATAAATCATGCTGTTAAAATGGCTATATCTGGGTCTGATCTTAATCGTTTTTACTCCTCACATCAGCAGTCGTTAGTAGAGCTTCAAAAAATATCCTAAAAATTTTTCTAATCTGTAATTTTTTAACTTAAATTTAGGTAAAGCAATCTGTTTTTTGCCGAAAAAAACTGGCATTGGTAAAACTTCTAAGATAAAATGGTACTATGACACCAATTGGGAAACTTGTCGGAGATTTAGGTTTTTTGGAAACCGAGCTAATAGAAATGCAAATAACTTTAGTACATGGAGAATATGCAGGTTGAATTGTATGTAAAGTGTAATTAGAGGAAAAAAATATTCAAATCGTAATATTTAACATCTTCTTATATTTTAAGCTAATATTCATTGTGATTTAAACAAGTTTTCCTGATAACTTCTGTTAAAGAGTTATTTTTTTACCTATAGTTGTAACACTCTGTTAACAGTTTTTGTAATAAATTTTCTTTTTCTAAAAGCCGAAAATGTAAGATCAAATAAATAGCAGATGATATCGAACGACAAAGTATCAAAATATTTGTTTATGATTAGCACTCCGAAACGAACAGTTAAGTTTGTTTATAGCACCTGATTTAATATCGGCTGGTAGTTTGGAAGCAAACGTTGATGGTATAAAAGCCATTAATAAATGTTTGTTCATGTTGGTTTCAATTGTTTCACCATGCTGTTGAAGTTTTCGTACCTTGTTATGCTTTTGGTGTTCTATTTTCACCTGACTCATTCGAGTAAGTGTGTTCTTTGCTCAAAATTATAGAAATGGTATTTCTTAGGCTGATCTCAAATGTGGTTTTAGTTAAGCGAAGATGCCTTAGCCGCTGGGAGAGGGCACAGGAAAAGCCTACCTGCGCAATTGGTTCTACAACTCCACATCGCATAGGTGTTCAAGGTTCATCTTCTTTGGCGGTGCGAGTAATGGCAACAACGTTGATACCCAAGCTCGGTGTCGCAAAATGTGCCTAGCCCAACTGCCTATGTCACTTAATATTTCAGCCAGTGATGATGGAGCTTAAAAAGAACAAAGATTCGAATCAAGTACAAAATAATAAATGAGACTTAAATAAAAGTTAAAAGTTAAGGCGAAGCCGGCTAATTGCATTTTGTGTGAAATCGCTGAGAAAATGGCTTTGAAGCTGCGCCCATATTTTTTTACTGGCATGCGCAACAAATATTTTTTATGTCTTTTGCTTGTTTTTTTTTTTGTATCGTAAAACTTGTCAGCGCCACCCACTTTCTAAGCAGCGCCGGCTAGTCCCAGAGTGGGTGTCTATTTGCCTAGAAGGTGTTAGGCGGGTGCGCTGACAACCCAATGGAACCGCATCGGCAACTTCAACTGCAACAGCAACCGCAACACCAATAGCAATAGGAACCACAGCAGCAACATCAACGTTTTGCTAAATCAAAATTGACACTATGCAAAAAGCCAACCCACAGAGCGGCACTCGCTGCAGCAAACGGTAGCCACACACACAGAAACTCACCGAAGCACATGGCTTTGGGCCAAGACTTCGGGCCAGGCGCTCAGCATGCCGAGCCATGGAGGCCAAAAGGTGCCCGCTGTCCGTGGCGCCAAGATGTGGCTGCTGCCTTTTGTTGTTGCCTTTCGGCGTTAGATTTCAACCATGTGCAGACAACGGTCGCCACACACAAACGCTGAAAATAGCAGTTATTAGCTTGACACAGCGCACAGTGTGCCGAATGGGGTTTACGAAGAGATTGGCTCGAAAATGTAATCACAGCGGTGGAGAAAATCGATATATTCAATGAATTTATTACAAAACTGGCCAAGAAAGAATTTACATACTCTTGTTATATGCATTCTTTATTCAATGAAATTATTATTAAAATAAGACTAAAACCATTTACAAAGTTGAGAACTTTTTTAACCATAAGTAGCCAGTCTGGCATTGGGTTGAACATAATAATATTCATAATTGACCTGATTATAAAGGCTTAAAACCTAAATGAGGACTATTAATACTTTTTATTTCTCTTACTAATTTGACTTAATAACTTATCCACTTCTTAACCAATGTGCCGAAGCAGTCTTGCCATGTTCGAGTGCACCGTGGGCACCAGCATGGCGACATTTGCTCATTAAGCATATTAAATAATTAGTACTTGTTGTTGTCATATTTTATGTGCTCGTTTGTGTGCTCGCTGAGCTTACTTGAAGAGGCTTGGCTTGGCTTGGACAGGGGAGTATGGACAAGCACGTAAAGATGGAGATAGGAACATCGACACAGATCGAGATAGATACAGATACAGAAACAGATACAGACCTAGACCAGTTTCCAATAGATGTCCGCCGGGAGCTTGGCCTTTGCTGAATTTTTTAATTTTTATTTGGCCCATAAAGATTGTGAAATATATATGCGGCTTAATTGAATGGCAATTGACTGAGCGACTTGACAGATATAAAGGTAATCCGTGATATTAAATTAATTGTGAGGACATGCAAATGTAATGGTTAATAAAATATAAACGGTAATGTTATTGTAATTAATTTAAATAAAATGTATAGAAATAAATTCACGCATCGTAAAGTCTCAGTCATTAATTAAATAATAAATGTAAAGGCAATCTGGGATATTAATTTAGTTGTGAAAACATGGAATTCAAAGTGGCCATAAGCCTATAATTTTATTTATATTTAATTTGGATTAAATGTTTGGGATTGCATTTAAGCATCGTAAATGATCGTTCAATAAAATTAAAATGTATTTCTTTCTCCTTAGGGCAACTTTCTTCTTTAGCCGAAGTCCTAATCTTAGCCCAAAGTGTTCATCAACAAGAACTTTACAAACTCCGTGGGTTGTTTACAACACCTAATGCGTTACTAATGATATTTCAGCCCTTCGGACCCGATGACAAAGAATAAAACAAACAAAACGAATTACATTTGCATGTAGATTTATAGATTTATGCAAATTCCATGCTGTGTTGCCCAATGAACCATTTGACACTTTTGTCCACACACCGAGCGTGCTTTATTAATTATTTATTGTCCAGCTATTGTGAATTATGGCAACGGCTGGCCGTGGTCTAGGAAAAAATCAAATGCTTCTCGAGTGGAGTGGAGTGGAGTGGAGAGGAGTGAAGTGATCTCTGGTTCGGAGCACATTTTCCTTTCTTTCTTCGGAGATTTTCGTAGGGGTTTCGAACCAGTTGAGCGACATTCCATATGAGGCGCGACAGGCGACAGGCGGCGGCTCCACTTCACATCGGATTCGGATTTGGAATCAGTTTTGGTTTTAGTTTTCGTTTGGGCTTGGTTTCGGTTTTGGTTTTTGGTTTCGGTTTCGGAGATGCTAAGATTAATCAGCTGCCATAAGCCAAATGACAAGACATATTTCTGTCGGCTCTCCAAATGTGCTAGAGCCCCGTGTTATTATTGCTGCCTATTTGTGTTTATTTATGGCGAGGCCAGAAATGATACAACACAAAAATCGAAATTAATTTCAAATTTGATTACAATAAAAATAAAAATCAAGCCCAGCTCGCAGCTCCACTTGTGAGTAGTTTTTGATTTACTCGTCCCAAAGTATACCAGCCCCTGCCCCTTCCCCTTCCCCGTTTTCCGTAGGTGTGCCCCAAAACGCGGCCCCACCCAGAAATGCCACGAAAATTTGAAATACATTTATAGTTTTCTATTTAGATAGCTTGGCTTGAACGAGTTAAATATGTAAAGCCCCCCTTATGACAGAGAACGGTTATGGCTTCTGCCGCCAGATCTCTTGTTTCCGACTTGCCGAATTGGGTTACTTTCGGCTTAATTTAAGGTCTTAAGGTTAGGCCAAATTGCGGATGGCCACAAGCCAGCCCACGCCTTCTGCAGCCTCTTCCTCATACCATATCCCAAAAGCCAAACTGGTTCCGGGACAACAACAATGAATGGAGGCAGCCAGCCGCGACTCAATGGAAATGACAGCATACGTGTGGCCAAATAAAAGATATATTTTGCCCGTACACATATAAGGCGGCCGAAAAAAAGCTAACCAATGATTTGTTCGGAGCGTGGGCGATCCCCTTATTAATTGTGAAAATATGTACGTGCGCAGAACGATTTGTTTGCCAGCATAACCGATAATTCCAACAATCCCCAGCTCATTTCACCCACAAGCCGTATGCTGGATTTGAAAGGTCAACTGCACTAAAGATTCGGAGGAGTGGTTCGCGTATAAAAATATATACATTTTATGACTCCCAGTTATGACTCTCCATCGCCGCCGTTTCCCCTAATAATTGAGATTGGCATGCAGACCCACAAAAGGCTACCCACACACATCCAAAAGGCATTCCGTGTTCCCATGGCCATCGCAGATTTGAATTCCATTTGCCAAGCTGCGACAGAGACGTTGGCTCGATTAATGATTCTTTGACTCGGTTTGGCAAACTGATATTATGCCAATCTATAATTCATATAATTTAATTACAAATGTCCATTTAATTTATTGTAAACTTTCTGGGAATGTTAAATATTAAAATCGTGCTTTAGGGTGTGTCATTTGGAGCGAAGTATACTTACTTATATAAAATATATAAGAAATGCTTTTAAAGTTTGTCATTACTTTTCACACATTGAAAACCATTTCAATTTTAAAAGTTAATCAACATATATGGGCTATATATTTTCTATAGGTGCAATCAAAAAAAAAAATAAAAAGTTTAGTTTTAATTAGCGTGTCTTGAAAATAAACTACAGACAGTATTAAAGTATAAGTATTAATTCAATATTAAAAAATATGTAGTAACACCCTTATTTTTTAGTTTCATTTCTATACCAAAGAGTCTAAAACTGTAGTCTAAGGCCTTAAGTTATATTTTGATAATTAAGAATGAAACAATAGTTCAGTTTTTGGCTTTTGGTGTGCTTAGTAAATGGAGATACAACTAAAGATGCCAAACAAAACTTCCCTTATTACTTGCCTCTTCTAGTTATAGTATAATTAAACTTAAACGAATCATTGAATACCTTGACTAATATCTCCTTTTTATTTTCCAGACTTCTACGCCATTCTAGAGGCTTCTAGCTGAGAGATATATCCCGGAAAGAGGATCTAACCATGTCGCACAAGACGAGCAGCCGTCGCAGCAGCGACCTGGAGTGTCCACTAGCCTCATTGGGCCGCAACAGCAATGCGGTGCGCGACCACTACCACCACCCGCATCCGCTGAGCTCCAGTCCGCTGGATCCGCAGGCCTACAAGATGATGTCCCGCAAGTCGCCCAATCCCGGCATGGATGTGGGCGAGACGCAAGGCGACCAGGTTGCAGCCTCCTCGACGGCAGCTGCTGCTGCGGTGCTCCACATGGTGCAACAAAAGGCGGCGACCTTCGAGCTCAGAGGTCGCCACTCGCGACCGGATCAGGCCAACTATGGAGCCCATTCCACGGCCTCTGTGGGCAGGCATGCGAAGAAATCACCCGAACTTCCGGCTCCGGCCTCCAGAAATGTGGCGCCCGTGCCGCAGCCACGGAACTTCCTCACCCTGGAGCATGTCCTGCAGTTCGGAGCCCAGCGACCCAGTTGGATGCACAGCAACAGTGCGGACACGGAGGATTCGAGTGACAACAATGCGGGTGGCGTTGGCGGTGGCGGTGGAGCGGGTGGCAATGGCAGTGGTGGTGGTGGGGCAGGAGGACGAAGACGCGTCCAAGGCGGAAGATGCAGTGTGCCCACTGTGCTGAGCAGCAATGGCAGCGGCAGCAACGGAGCCCAGTACCTGCTGGACAAGAAGATGGAGTCACTCTATCTGGGCAACGCCCTGCGAGCCCTTCCCTTGGGCGCCGAGGCGAGTCAGTACCAAAACGAGCGCTACTACCTGGAGGACTACAGCAGCGGCAGCGGGAACGAGCGACTGCCAGGTTGGTGAACATTACACTAAACCCTTCAAAATTTAAAACGAATAACATTTGTTTCTGTTTTAAACGTCTCAGTAACAAGCGAAGATGATCTAATTTTTTTTGATATTTTCCTTTTTATAATTAATTAAATATTTCAATTACTTTAACTTGCCAATGATGCTTACTTAATAATCACACTTGTCCTGAAAATTAAACTAAATACTTTGGCGATAACATAGCGCCTAAAAATTTAGGAAGGGTTTTTTTTTCAAAAGAACATACCTAGATAATAAACTTGTTCCTTTAATTTGAATTCCAATTTAACCCTTCTGTACCTTCCTATTTTTCCCCAGAACGCCTGCACCATCCGCGCACCTCCAGTCCCAGCGAGACGAGTGGATCGGACCGCTATCTTCTGAACCGGAGCTCCAACTCCAACCACCTGCACTCCAAAGGCCAGAGCCTGTCGGATGGCCTGTGCAACCTGGGCCGCTTTTCGCCCAGTCTGGACCAGGGCTATGCCACGCTGGTCTCGCCCTCGCCCACGGGTCACCACTCGAGTGGTGGGGCGGGTAACGTGACCAATAGCACCACCGCCAGTGGGTCGGGGATCATGGCCAGCAGTACGCCAGCCACAACGCCACGTAGAGGCGTCTCCAGTAACGGAGTCGGCGGAGGAGGAGCTGGCACGGCCATCGGACCGCCGCCCTGGAACCGCAAGGGTCCCTTCCGATGCGGCCCGCTCTTCGATCGCCTGCCCGACGAGGCCGTCGTCCGCATCTTCTCCTGGCTGGACAGCTGCGAGCTGTGCAACGTGGCCAGGGTCTGCCGGCGATTCGAACACCTCGCCTGGCGGCCCGTCCTGTGGAAGGTGATCTCGCTGCGGGGCGAGCACCTCAACGGCGACAAGACGCTGAAAATGATCTTCCGTCAGCTGTGCGGCCAGAGCTGCAACGGCGCCTGTCCGGAGGTGGAGCGCGTGATGCTCGCCGATGGCTGCCGCCTTTCGGACAAGGGCCTCCAGCTGCTGACGCGTCGCTGCCCGGAACTGACCCACCTCCAGCTGCAGACCTGCGTAGGCGTCTCAAATCAGGCGCTCGTCGAGGCGCTCACCAAGTGCAGTAACCTGCAGCATCTGGATGTGACGGGTAAGTGGGGATATCTAATTAAACCCGGAATATTTAAATAAATTGAAAAAGGATTATGTTTATATTAATTAACTACTAATTAACTAGCACCTATGTTCAAATGATTTTTGTCCTTTTAATAGGATTAAATAGAGCGTAGCATTTTTAGCGTTAGGAATAATTTGAAAAGATCCATGATTAATATATTGGATTTCATATACATCGCAAATTGTTGGTATTAAAGTTATTTTTGGAACATTTAAGCCATTATCTAAAATGTAAGCAAAATTTAATTGTCATTGGTCATTTCAAGATGAAACAAAATATGTAGTATTCAACTAGAATTATTTAATTAAATAACACAAGTTACTTCTTAAGATTGAATGCATAATACAAATATACAAAGACTGGGTAACTTTAGTCTGTAAATTATTAATACTCTACTGTATTCAAATTAAAAATCGAAAGTTAACTAACTCTCTTTAAATGTGACATTCCGCAGGCTGCAGCCAGGTGAGCAGCATCAGTCCGAATCCCCACGTGGAGCCAGCGCGTCGCCTTTTGCTGCAGTACCTGGACCTCACGGACTGCATGGCCATCGACGACATGGGCCTGAAGATCGTGGTCAAGAACTGTCCCCAGCTAGTGTATCTGTATCTGCGTCGCTGCATACAAATCACGGGTAAGCTGGTTTTGGGTTTGAGTTGAAACCAAATAAGTGAATAACCTTTGCTTTCCTCACCTTTACAGATGCGGGTCTTAAGTTCGTGCCCAGTTTTTGCGTGTCGCTGAAGGAGCTGAGTGTGTCCGACTGCCTGAACATCACCGACTTTGGCCTATACGAGCTGGCCAAGTTGGGAGCGGCGCTGCGCTACCTTTCCGTGGCCAAGTGCGAACGCGTTTCGGATGCTGGACTGAAGGTGATTGCCAGGCGGTGCTATAAGCTGCGGTATTTGAACGCCCGTGGGTGTGAGGCTGTGAGTGATGACTCCATTACGGTCCTGGCCCGATCTTGTCCGCGGCTTAGAGCCCTGGACATTGGAAAGTGCGATGTGAGCGACGCTGGACTGCGAGCCCTGGCCGAGAGCTGCCCGAACCTGAAGAAGCTGAGTCTGCGCAGCTGCGACATGATCACGGACCGCGGGGTGCAGTGCATCGCTTACTATTGCCGTGGCCTGCAGCAGCTGAATATCCAGGACTGCCCGGTGTCCATCGAGGGCTACCGGGCGGTCAAGAAGTACTGCAAGCGCTGCATCATCGAACACACCAATCCGGGATTCTGTTGAGATGCCCCTTTGGCGGCAGCCACCACAAAGCACAGAGGCAGGCCATACGTGAAGTAGAGTCCAGTTGGGAGACACCAAAATGAAAAAGTGCCACGCAAATGTAAGTCCTCCCACTGGGACTGTCGGGAACCAAGCTCAAGAGTTTTAGTTCAAGGATCATCCAGCAAGGGGTGGGAACTTCACAGAGTTTCAAGCTATTCTCCATAAAATTGCCATCACCTTGCTTAAAGATGATCATCGAGTTTAGTTGTTATTGTAAATTGTAAATACCGAAAGGAAGTTGGACAGGATTGGCGTAGCATAGAACATGTTCAAGTAGACTATGTTTAAGTAGACTAATTCTTGGCGTAATAAATTATTGTCCCCACCAGAAGTGGTCTAGTGCTGTTTCCTAGACTTCGTTTTCAGGAAGTCAAAGATGTTGGGTCTCAGCTGCGGAACATGGTCGAGGATATATGGTGGACGCACATCCATGAGTTCCCGGGTGTAATGGGTTTTGTGTTTGGTCCTTCGCATGCGATCCAATTCGATGGTGGCCTTCTTAGCCTTCGAAGGGTCTTGTTTGGACTCCACATATGGAGTGATCTTTATATTCGTGCAACGGCCCCGCTGCAAATAGTTGTTGGTGGCCATTATAGAACGTATATCTCCGATGACGTCCATGGTCTGCTCGTTTATGTGTCGCAGGGTTTGCAGATCGGCTTTAATCCTGGCAAGCCGCTTGTCCACTGTGGATTGAGTCTTGGCATCACATGGCTTCTGGAGCGGCACGGAGTACCTTGGCATATTCTGGATTTCTTTTGCCTTCGCAACGGGGCCGTCGGTACACGGTTTGGACACCAACTTCTCCGACAACTCCATCAGTCGCACCCGCTCCTTCAACGTGTTCATGGGCAATTTCCGTATCATCTGGCGAAGCTGCTTGTTTTTTTTGGGTGTGAGCAGGTGCTTGTGTTTCTGAAAGCGCTCCAGTCCGCGACGCAGACGTTCCATCATGTCCATCCAGACGTCCATGCCCTTGCTCTCCTCCTCGATTTCCTTCTGAAGGCGTTTCCGCTTGGACCGAAAGTGCCGCAGTTGGCTCTGCAGCAGGAGCACCTGCTTTTGGTCCTCGTAGTGCTCACGAACCAGTCGGTCGTAAGCCTTTTTCCATTTTGGGTCTTGAGACATCTAAGCTAAATTTTGAATTTTAAGAAACGATAACTCACAAAAGCATGACTCTTGTTAGGTTCAAGTCTAAGCTATGCTATCGATTACCAAAAATAACTAATACTTTGATGTAATAAAGCTAAAAATATATAAATGCGAAGTTATCTACCAATCGACTACAAATACATACTACATAAAAAGACAATTGATACCGATAACTAAAAATTGAACGAATGAAAACTATCAAAAGTAAACCAATTTTGGGATTGTACAATATAACAAAATAATACAAAGTAAATAAGAATTTCATATAAGTTAAATATTAACTGTAACAAAAACTAGCTAGATATATTATGAAAATACTCCAGAAAACCTATCGATAGCAATCGATAGAGACTTGTACCATCCCCAGCCAAACAGCTGTTTCGCCCGCTTTTCGGCGCTAGCAAGCTTCATAAATTACCTGGCGAAAGTAATAACTTAAATTTACCTGGTACTAGACTAACATTTTTACAATTAAATCAAAATTATGTGTTAAACGCGCGGTACTCGGTTCGTTAGAAAAGCACCTTTTTAATAATACAATTGGAACAACCGAGGCCAATCAGCTGTTGCGTAATTTAAGCGACACGTTTTTTAAGACTCAAAATTGGGGTGTAATCACAGAGTGCCACACATTTTACGTTCGTACCAAGGAGCAGGAAAAGGAACCAAACCATGGCCAAGTACATCGCCCAGATCATCGTCCTGGGCGCCCAAGCGGTGGGAAGGGCCTTCACCAAGGCGCTGCGCCAGGAGATTGCCGCCTCGCAGGAAGCGGCACGTCGAGCGGGAGGTGGTCAGCAGGGCGACAAGAGCGCCGAGTCCAACCTTCGTACAGGTGAGTCCTGCCTCTTACCATTCCAAAGTCCAATTTTTATTTCCCTCCTCTTAATAGGCATGACACTGGAGGAAGCCAAGCAAATCCTGAACGTGGAGGACCCAAAGAACGTGGACGCCATCATCAAGAACTACGAGCACCTTTTCAAGGTGAACGAACGCTCCAACGGCGGCTCCTTCTACATCCAGTCGAAGGTCTTCCGGGCCAAGGAGCGACTTGACCACGAGCTTAAAGCCCAGCAGACGCGACAGCCGCCAAAGCAGGAGGCGGCAGAAGCGACGGAGGAAGAGCCTCAAAGTAGGGCGAGGCAGCGGCGCTGAGAACCCATTTTGCCTCGCATCGAACTAATTAGCTGATAATTGATTTAAAAACTATTTGTTAAGTACAAAAACCGAAAGTCTGTTGATGTAAATAGAGATTTACGAACATGAAGTCCAGTTTAATTCAATTTAAAAGTGTTATTAGGAGGTTTCAGGAACAGTTATCTTTTAAAAACTTAAGCGGACCCTAAAAAGTATCACAAGCTCAGCTACATGTTACAAAGTTGTTTGATTCCTAAGATGCCTTTTTTTATCAGCTCTCGCTTACAATTTGGAAATACTTTCTAGATGATAATTATTTATTGTTGAGTTTTAGGTTTCTTCAGATATAAAAATGGTGCTTCTAGTAATTTTCTGTACTAATATTGTTGAAATGTTGAAATTGCTTTATCAATTGGGAAATTAGAACTGAAATAATTTGATAATAGTTTTCAAATCAAACAAGTCGATAGATATCGATAGGCAGGGCGGCACTGTAATCGGCCGGCTGCAGTCAGCTGTTCGATGGGCAGCACTGGCTAAGAAAACCAGCCGAGAATAATCGTTATTGCTGCGCAGTTGTTGTTTTTTCAGACGTGTCAATTGTTTGTCTAATTGTACCAGCCAACGACGCCGAAACGCCATCAAATTGCGAAATCTAAATAAGTAAATTATGCGCACATGCGCAGAAATCGAGAAAAGTCATCATTCCAGCGCACAAAGGAGAACCCACCACCAACGAAAATCGCAATATTAAGCTGCGGCGGAGGAGGGGCTGGACTCCACTTTTCCAGGGAGAAAGCGAGAATCCGAGAGAGAAGACTCCAGCTCGGTATTTGAGCCATTGCCATTCCGCTGCTCCGTCAGTTTTCAGAGGACCTTCGAAGTGGGCAGCCGAGAATCCAAAGTCTCCTGGCGACCAAATACCAAATAACAAAAAAGAACCCAATAAAGCAAAAAATCCAGTTGGCAGAGAAAATCAAAAGCTCAAGTGGTAATTGGCACCGAATCAAATTACTTTAGTTGTGCAAAAGGCAAAAAAGGAGAAAAGCCAATAAAACAAACTCGAGAGTGGCAGTGGCGTGTGTCCATGTGGAAAATCGATCGAATCGTAGAGTATTTATCGTGTAATTGTGCCCAATAGTCAGGCAATTCGCAGACCGTTTTATTGATTTTCCCCACCGCCGCCTCGCCAAGTTGCAAATTAAACCCATATTTTCCATTCCCACTTGACGACGCATCATCTTCCATGCCATCTTGCAGCGCGTGCAAATTGCAAGTTAAATGCGAGAATTTACATAACGCCGAGCGTTGTTGAAAGTGAAACTTCTGTGGTGCGAACGAAACACTGAAAGAAAGAAAAACCTATTACAAAATACCATACATATCTGCCTCTGTCCAGTGTAGTAAAACTTGGAGCGCAAGGAGCGGGAGAGCAGCAGTAGCGAGAGAGAGCGAGAGAGCCGAACGTGCGCACGTCTTCCTGGTCAGGACACACACACACATCGACTCCCACAACCACAACCACACCACTAATCCTTGACAGCGAAGGGAGCCAAAGGAGCAGCAGAAGCAGCAGGAGCAGAAGCAGCCAACATGTTTTCGGGGCTAACAAATCAATTTACCTCGCTGGTGGGCGCCGTGAAGGGCGGCGCTGGCGACGAGGATGTGCCCGCGCCCACAGGAGAGGCGGCCGCTCCAGCAGCCGCCTCCACATCCTTGGAGGCCACCTCGTCGGCAGCCGTGGATCCGGAGGCAGCTGCCGCCGCCGGTGCTGAAGGACTGGAGGGCGAGGAAGCTGGCAAGAGGTGAGTGCCAATCGTAACATTTCCCCCGGGTAATCCTCTCCTGCTTCGCCCCATCTTTCCAGTCTTCCGTGACGAGAACGCCAAAGGCAAAGGCAAAGCCAGATCCTGACATGGCGTGCGGATGTGACCTTGCAATTTGTACCTTTTAACATTTCGACCGGCGGTGCACCTCCTGCCCTCCAGTTGATCACAGTTGGCACACTCCGGTTCTCCTGCATATTTCATTGCATTCCGCACGTGCTGACGTGACTAAACATAATTGCTTAAACTGCAAACTAAATTCCCGATAATTTCGTCTCGCTATATAAGTATCTTTATACGACTTCGTTTCTGCACGGTGGGAGTTGATTTATTGCCCTCAACTTTTATGGCTAGCAATTTCAATTTTCAAATGCTTGGAAAATTGGCTAGAATGCATTGCGATTGATGATTTGTGGAATGGAATCTCAAGAGTGCAGAGCCGTGCTCCAATTGCAGAATTCTATGGTTTAAATTCAAGGATTATGTTGAGCTTTGAATAGTTGATTTTCTTTTATTTGAATGTATCCTTTTTAGTAAAGGGCTTATACCAATTACTATTTAAATTCTTTAAGCTCCTAGAATTAAGTATGCATACCTTTCGAACATTCATTTCTTATAACCTTTTGTGTTAGATGCATTGATTTTCCTTGTTTAAAAACTAGGTTGGTTAACCACAAGACAACCCTTGAACTGTCCAAAAAAGGAAAAGAAAAGCTTTATGTCTGCAAGTTCCCGACATCGTTCATGGTTTCCTTCTTTCAAAATGAATGATTGCGTTGCCCTATTTCTTTTCGACCTCTCCGCATCATTTGACCTTCTTCTTCATGCCTTTTCCTGGGCACTTCATCAATCTCTAACACCCAAAAAGTCCGCACCCAAAATTTAAGTTACACTCGTAAGAGTGTTAATGCAACCTGAGGTTCCAGTATTTCGCTTCCCACAAAGACATAACATTTATCAGCGACAAGTGAAAGGAAAATCCAATTATTGGACTGATTTTTCGACAAGTTAAGCCCGGGGTGTCGGATGACCTGCTAATGCCACAAGTTGCTGGCTAATCCTTTAGACAAGCCAAATACAACTAATGCCCTTGTTTTTCACTTAATTTCGCGCATTAATATTTAATTGTGCGAGAGTGCACTGGGCCAAGATGTCGATCCGTGGCACGTTTTGCCAACCAGCTGCCAACAGCTGGTGTCGCTGTCTTTGAAATTTAAGTCCGTGATGTGTCACGCCGATTCAACGGATGCCGATGCCCCTTTCTCCTTTCCCCGCTGTACGGTCGTCCTTTCACTGTCAATTGACATTGACGACTTGGCCCAGCTTCGTGTGTCTTTTTGTATCTTGCACTTTGTTTTTTCTGTGGGTTCCAATGAAAATAATTTGCACGTGGCTCCTGCATAACCACAAAATGTTGAGTCATTCGAGCTAGTTGCTGTCCCTTCGCCTTCCTCCGCTTTGACCACTGGTAGACTCGGTTTTTTGACCAGCTTTTGCTGTGTGCGAAAAAGTGTCACCAATGTCGGCAAGGAGGGGGCTGTAGCAGGAGGATTCAGATTCGGGGGGTGGTGGTTTGGGGGCAGGCAGGATGTGTTTCTTTTGGTGGTTGCTTTCCAGTTTCCAGTTGACTTTTGCTCGTTTTGCGGATCGATACGAGAGAGACCGAAACGAAACGCTATGCCTTACGCTCTCTGCGAAATGTGCACATGTGATGTGGCCAAAACGAGTAAAAACGACGACATGTCGACCGCCTACTAGCATTCACCACGCCTCCACTCCTCCACCCACCACGACCCCTTGTTGTCCTTTTGTCAGCCTATTTAATAATTGTGCATTCAGAAAACGTGTGCGCTGGTTTGTTGCCTGTCTTTTCGCCTTTTCTCCTGTCATTTCCTCTCCAGAGCTCGACAATCAGCGCTAAATCTCTATAATTTCCAATGAATTAATTTATTCAATTTTCAATTTCGCTGTCATGCATACGAGTTGCTTATTATGGCAAGGGAACTTAGCCCCGATTGTGGCCAAAAATCGATCGAATATTACCCGAAAATGGGGCTATGCTGGAGTAATTACCAAATGCAATATTCCCAGTTGTTAGCCCTGCAAAACCCCACCTGAACATGCGTTTGTGTTCTGTGTGTGTGTTTTTTTTCGCCAGCGCCAGGGCCATAGTTGTTGGCGGTTTCAAGGACATTTACGCTATTTGCACTTGCCCTGCTCTCTGGCAGTGTGTTTGTATACGTGTCCTTGCCTTTGTTACTAAAATTATGCCAACAAAAAAGAAAGCAGGGCGAAGTAACTGAGTAAGAACTGTTTCATCTTGCGCCCAAATGGCTTGACAAATAAGCAGGACAAACAAGGTGCGCTCCTAATAAGTGCGCAATGCATTTTTAACGCCGCTTGACACAATTTGCTCGCCAACAATAACAGCAACTTTTGATTGCGGACAAAAAGTTACCATTCTGCATTCTGAATTCCATTCGGGTCATCATTAACAAAACAAAACGAGGGCAAACAAAAGTTAAGAAACAAATATTTGCACATGTTGCTGAGTCTTGGGTCTGATTGAAATACGCCTTTCAAATGCAAATAGAAATTTCTTCTGAAAAAATATAAATATTACATTTGGCCCAAATCTCAACGAAAAGCCGTTCCGCCCACCTGAAGATGGCAAACAGAATAAAAGTCAAAGCAATGGCCTCAAAATAAATAAATATATCGGGGCTAGCCAAAAGTGGGCTAAAGCCACAGAAATTTATCGACACGACATTTGGCCTCCTGAACACACATTTCCCAAGGATATAAAAATATAAATAAGAGACGAACCACCATAGACCGGCGGGAATCCAATTGAAACGCTGCCAAGCCGAATGCAAAATCCTCGCAGGCTACTTAAATTTAAAGGCGGCATTAAAATTTCATGTCAAGGCAGGACTCAGCCGGACATATCGCCTGTGCCATCGCCATCGCCAGGACATAGCGTGGGTGCTAACGACGCCTCGTCCAACCGCCCGCCATTTGACATTTGCCGGCCAAATTAACATTCTGGCCCCGAAAGCAACAATCTCTGTGGTCAGCACTGCACGAAAATGGCTGGGCTCCTCCTTCTTCCACTCAGTGCAATTTCATTTCGGCAGAACCTTCCTTCGGCAGGACCTTAATTGCCGTCTGCGATGTGGGTGGTCTCCACCCGGCCAAAACTATTTGTTTTGTGTATTTTTTCAGCTGTCGCATTTAATTCAATTTATGCTGTCCATTCTCTGTGCTTGAGTCTTTTCTGAAGCGGCTTTGTGTGTTTATTGTTTGCACCACAAATTAATTTTTATACCCTTGGCATTTTGTTTCGTGCTAAATCGTTCGGCCCATATAAATAGTAATTTTTATGCAAATTAAGTGTTTGTCCAGAATTTTTCATTACCTAATTGTTGGCCAGGGAATTTCACACGCGCACACAAAACGAGTAAAATAAAACTTTACGGAAAGTTTGATTTATTTGGCGGGTCGTGTTTCACGTTATGTTAGTTCCTGGGTTTCAGATAGATTAAGTCAGTGGAAATACAATTTGTACAAAAAAGTCCCTGTGTCCCAACTTTAAGCTTTTGAAAATATTGTAATTTAATAATATTTGTAATTGGCTACCCAGTACTGCCTCCATTGCTAATCAAAGGCCATCAAAATGCCCAATCAACTTAACACCGATTTTATACATACACCTTTTCGACCTCGACACGTCGATGCTGTCCGTGCCACTTCTGCCACACCAATTGGCGGTCAATTATGCCCGAAAGTAAAGTGGGTCAAAGGATTTTTATGGCCCTACACACAAGAGCAGAAAAATCGAAAAAGTGTATTAAATTTAATGCTGCTCGTAAAGTGACCCCAGGCTGGCTAAGGTGCGAACGATGCAGATGCTCGACCCACTCGGTTTAAAGCCCAATGAAAATCAGGACACGGCTGAAACATATGGAAATTGAGCATGCCGGAGAGGGGGGAAACATATGTTAGCAGCTTGCCTTTTGCTCGAATAAAGATAAATTGAATGTCCGCAGGACAGGAAAGTGCTCGGCCGGTAGTCAACTAAAGCGAGGGCACCGGAATGCCAGTCACAACTTTCTGTTCTGTTTGAGGCCTTCGCGATAATGTTGCCATGATGCCACTGCAGACGCAGACGATGATAAAGTTGTGTTAAGAGCCAAGACAAGCGTTGGCAAAACATAAATATTAACGGAGCGCGGAAGTGACAGGCCAGGCGGGTAATGGCAACAAACGATGCAACAGACAGGGAGGGCCGGGTACTGTGTGTGTGTGGGTGTGTGTTTGTGTGGGCCGCATCACGCACACACATAAAAGCGACTCCCAGGACTTGCGTCAAAGTAGCAAATTACGGCGTATCATAAAAACGGCAGCCAGACTACGTGCTTTGTTTCTATTTCCCGCTGTCCTCGCAGCATGAGAAATGCTCTGCCAAAAACTTTTGCGAATGTCATCATGGTATCCTTATTTATATGAAATGTAGTGTGCAACTGGCAAGTCTAAACTTTAATAACTTAGTTCCTTCTTGTTCAGCGCACCTAATAAGTGTGCCTGCATACTATCGGGGTTGCCACGGAACTCTCTTACTGCCAAATTACTATTTGGAAATGGTATATATGGCTTTGTTTTGGAAAATTCCCTTAACGAATCGAGCTAAAAATTTACAAATAAGTTAAACAGAACCTATATGTTCACAACCAATCAACAACTAGTTGCTGGCAAATGTACTTTTTTTTTTTAATCTTTTATTAAATAATAATACCAATCGTTTTACAAAGTCAAAACCACAATGAAGATACACGAACTGATTACAAATACGTGTATATTTGCAACTCCCAGGATTATCTGTTGAAGCTCACGTCGGCTATCTGCGGTATTTGGTATCTCATTAAGTACACGTTCACAGTGCTTATCCAACTATGCAAATGGCGGTAGATATCACACATCATTCCCCCCGATTTGCTTTGGGGCCCTGTCAGTCACAATCATAAAGCCAATGGTTCCAGCAAATAAACCGCCTCTTGAGTAATATTTAAAATTTACATAAAACTGGCACGCTCTATAAAATGCCAAAAAAGAAAAGTAATAATACAGAAAAGCGAAAGTAGAAAACATCACTGTTGATAAGCTACCCACCAAAGAGGGGGTAAATCGAGAGCTGTGTGGGTGGCTGGGGGGTTCTATTTGCATTGCGTTAATGGCAGCTCAGTTGCCGGTTTTAAAAGCCAGTCCCAATTGCTCATGTGTCTGGTTATGCCCTTCTGATGGGGTGTGTGATGATTTGGTCGAGTGTAAAACACATAGCCCCAAGCTTTCAGGACGGCCATTTTGTTTTGTGCTGTGGCTCATAAATTTCTGCCTGGCTCTGCAGTTGAAATTTATGGCTGGGCTTTTTCGGGCTCCTGCCTAATCACAATGACGGGGCGTATACGCAATGCCGAGTGTAGGTGGCAGGGACGAGCCATCTGGTTCGACATTCATAGCGACAGGACAATTCATTGTCTCCGTCTCCGAGCATCAATTCCGACCCCTTATTGGCGAACCTAACTCTGTGGCTTTTGTTTCCCGTTGGCCTAATGCAATTCCTTGGCTGAAAGAGGCATAAATGTGTTTAGAGCTGGTATGAAACAAACACGCGTAATTCGATTTCAGCTTCAGATGCTGCAGCATCCTGCTGGCTCCTTCGACAGCCACGTCGCCACCAATTCAATTTTCGGTTTCGCCTGCCACGAGGCGACGCTAACGTGCGCAATTAATTCTGTCAACAACAGGCACCAACAGCCTAGGAAAATGGCTCATGGCCACGTTTTTCTACGTCGCACAATTTGCAATTTAAAAGGCCCCAACAGCCAGCGCCCAAAACTTGCATTTCAACTCTTTTGGGTTAGCCCGTCCAGCCGACAGCGATTTTAATCCAATTTTGTGGGGGACCTTTTTCGGGGAATAATATAACTTTTAATGAGCATGGCTTGTGTTTTGGACGATTGTTGTCATCAAGTTTCTAGGGATAAAGTATCCTTGAAAGTTTCCCTCGCAGCTTTTCAATAAACAAAATTACTTGACTTTACTGCTAATGACATTATCCAATGTAATGTTGCCTCTCGCAGCTTTCAACGACCGATAACACAATCCTTTAAGTGAAAATTCACTTATTCCATGGCTGTACGTGACAGGAAAACCTTTTACTTTACAAAGTTTCGTGCCCAACAGCCTTCTTAAAAGGTTTCTGACTTTATCTACAAATGGCTATCAAAGTTGCCACAGCGAAATTAAAGTCTTGCCGTCTTCTAATTTGCCCTGAACAGCTATATGGTTATATGGAATATCGATTTGACTGTATGTACTCCACAGAGAAGTACATAAATAGTAGGTATTCCCACTTGTTGGTTTGACAGCAGTGACCGCATACCGGAGTCAAAGCATTTCTTAATTAAATGACGACCTCAGGTTGTGGCCCTTTTGCATTAGATCAACTCATGCTGCCATACTGCATCTTTCATTAAATCGGTTTGGTTTTGGTATTGGTATTGGTGTTGGTATTGGTGTGGGTGTGGGTGCTGCCATTCATTCTGCCAGCGATTCATTCATTCATCTGTGACTCAGCACGACACACGCTGTGTGTTGTGCAACTTGGCCGTTAATTGAAAATTGCAAACGGCTTAGTCCTTCCATTTGACTCTGGCTCTTCAAACAGTTTGCTTTGTAATTGAGTAATGAAATATGCCAAGTCACACAACAAAACCAGCACTGTTTCGCTTGCATAAGAATTAAGATAATAGAGCGACAGTGAGAGGGATTGCTGCTGAAAGTGTGCTAAAGGTCAATACGTTGCTGCATCGTGGCGCAGTCATTGGATGCTTCATTGCATGGTGCGCGTGTGGGACTACGCGGCGTATGAGCAACATCGCTGCCAAGTCAAAAATCACCAAAGATGGCGCCAAAACTGTTGCCTACTTACTGAGTTTTATTTTAAGAAAGACTTTCGTTTCTTTTTGTGGGTAAAACGCTTTTAGCTGAATACCAAGTTGGAATTTTGGAAAGTTCTTTTTTTTCTAACACAAGTTCTGTCCTAACAAACCACGTTAAGATGTTGAAACCAATATAGTATTGACTTTCATCACTCTTAGACTTTCCATATTTCTTTCAAACACTAATTTAGCCAGATGTTGCAATCAACTTTATCCTTGTTTCCACTTGAAGGACGAGCTTGTTTTGCTTTATTTATCAAGCGCCATAAACCATTATTATCTCATCAGTTTCAGGCGTACCCTCGTCAAAACTAACGTTGCTGCCATATGTTCCCAAGTATTGGTTTTGCCACGAGAGCAGCAACCAAATGCAAACAGTGCAGAATGCATTAAGTGCCATGGCCCACAACATGGCGTATACTTAATTAGCCATATAATGAACGCCGAGTTATGTAAAAGGACGCAGCAAGAAATGTGATGAAGGCAAATGGCTGTGGCTGACTATTTGCCATAAACAAGTTGGGTGGCTGGCGAAAAAGGGTGGGCTGTGGATGAAACGAAGACCTTTGCTTAATTGAATATAATTTTCAGTTGCCACTGTTGTTGTTTTGCATCGGTTGGCATAAATTACGCATGGCCACTCCTTAACATTGTCGCTCCACTGCCAGCACTGCCAACACCGCCCACCCAACTTCCATGCCGCTGTCCTTGCTGCATGCATTTTGTTGCATTACGTATACGCGACGTGTGCCAGCTTAGACTTTTATCTTGGTTGCCCTTTGTAAGTTGTACGCTATTGCGAATACTGTTGTTTTGCTACTCAGGGCTTGTATCACAGGACCTTGTGGCATTTTCATTGGGTCAAGGTCAGAAACCGATTTGCATTACATTTCGATCTGACAACCTCCCCCGCCCCCACCTACCTGCAATTCAATTCGATTCGATTCGATTTGTTTTGTTTATCAATACGTGCCTGCCCTTGTCGGCAAATTGCTACATAAATATCCGCGAAACATCTACTCACAATTCCCCCGTTGAGTTGATTTATGTTAAGAAATTGTTTTTCTCCTCTCAGCTGGAGATTTACGAGTCTATATACGTACGAATGGCCCACTGGGTCCGCTTGAGCATGAACTTTGGACTTATATTTCACTTTCACGCTGCGCCCCGGCCCTGTTTCGCATTTGTAATAATATCCTTTTCTTAATTAGAGGGTCAGGTCAGGAAGCATTTTAGTTTGGTTGGGCGTTTCGCCAGCCTTTTCTGCTATGTTGGCCCAACACGAAATTATCTAATTAATTTCCCTAATACATTCAAAATCGCTGGCGATATACATCTTCATTAACTTTGGGAACTTTTCATTCTCTTTGCAGGTAATTATGCCGATGACGTACAAACTCAGACGAAAATATAGTGAAAAGTGCAGGAAAGATATAAAAAAAAAATTAAAAAAAAAACTTTTCAGGTTTAAAATTGAGAATAACATTTGTTTGGTCTTTTTTCGTTTAATCTTAATAATATTTGTTTGTTTGTCTTTTAATTTACTATATTGAAATCATTTCAATTAATTTTTTGTAGGCTCTTTGATTTAATTTGAAACTCTTTTGTTATTTTATATTTTTATTTATTTGGTTTTGTACTTATATAATTTCTTTTAGACTTCCCAAATCCGTCTCCCTGGTTGATTCATTAGTATCCGAAGCCACGTAAGTTCATATTGTTTGTAATATTTTATTATTATTACGTTTATTCTTTCCAATTAAACCTAATTAGAAGCCATTATCCAACTCTTTGGCCCTAACACAAAACTATTTACCTTTCCTCTCGAAGTAAGAGGAAAACTTTTTCTCGCAGTCGGAAAATCATTAACACAGAAACTTTTTCTCAAACTCGGCCGCCCATTTAAGCCACCAAATGGCGTACAACTTTGGGTAGAAAACATCATAGGGACTGCAATCGTTGAGTAACCCCCTTCATAATCGCCTAGGAAAGTCAAATACTCATACAAATTGTTGCCCGCTGGCTCTGAAAGTTTAAGTGCGTCAAAGTGGTAGTTCTCACACTCAAATGTGTAGTGACACTTTTTCAAGGACTCGTGCTAACTTGGTTTAACCGCCTGCAGGTTGGCGAAGCTCTCCCAATCGCCGTGAGAAACTCGAGTCGCAACTCTAAACGCTCGCCCACGTGTCGAGCATTAAGTTACCTTGCTGAGGCCCCTTCCTTTGATATTTATTTCAAGTTAATTCATCTCAATCAGCTTAAATATCAAGCTAAATAATTCATTTGCATTTTAAGGGCGTGCTGACTGCGTATAATTAATGCGCATAAAATTCCCAACACTTTGCACCTTTTTGCTACCAGTTTATTTCCGCCGTGCACCTTTGGGCCGCCCTCTGGACTCATGACCACACACACTCATCCGCCATTCAGCTTTTGATTGAGCGAGAGGACCCACAGTCCAGGAGCCAAAGTCCCTTGGCAACAATTGTCCCAACCTTTGCCTTGGGATGTTTATCATTTCGGGGACTGTGTCGCCGTCATTCCCATTAAACTCGGAGCGGGTCAGCGAAGGCTATAACTAAATGTGTGTAAAACCCGAAATTTGTTGCATGAAACAGTTAATCAAAGGGGATATCGTACTATTGTGAAAGGACAGTTGTTGGACGTTTTTATATTTATAAAGTTTTCAATCACAGCCAACCGAATGCTAACCTATTGACAGAAAAGGGGAACAGCATTAAATACTTACAAAGAAAAAACATAAAATAACAGCCAAGCCAAGCCAAGTTTTGATTTTATTTGTTTATCAGAATTTAGTTTAATATTTCTTAAAGTTTATTATATATAAAACGGATTATATGCAAAATTACTTTTTAAAAATTGTTTTAATGTAGTTAAATTTGACTACATCAAACAATTTGTATAAAACAAATTAATATAGAGATAAGGTTTTCTTAGAATAAAATGATCAGAGTATGGATTTGCAAATCTGATGACTGATAGTCATAAAATTAAAACAGTATTACAAATTCGTTGTTAAAATGATTTTTGGCTCCATTTCCAAATACATAAGAGGGTAGAGAAGGAATCGTATTGAAATGTTTATTTAGCATTGCTATGGTTTATTCTCCGCACTCGTTTCCATCAAAAAACCAATACCCTTTGTTGTGGGCATCAGAATGGAATCCAGAGTGGCCACAATTGGCATTCGCCGCAGGTGAGCGTGTTCCTGCAAATGCGAGATGTCTTGCCAATCCAAAAACCAGAACGGAATGAAAAAGGTTTCGATGAGATGGGTATACTTTAGTAAACATGCCTGTCGTTCCACCTGTCAGTTGCATGCAGAACGGTATTTTTCTTTCCGCTTTTCTATTTTTAGACAGTGCCGTCAACTTTTGGTCTAATTAACCTTGCTCATCTTTATTAGGTGAGACTTCCCTGGGAGTGGGACCAAAAACAATCTCCTAATTCTACTTAAATTGTTCAAGTGTTCAATCTCTCACCTTTTTAAAGCTTAGCTGCCAAGTCGTAATATTTTTACGGCACTCGACTTGCTTTGACGATTATGTTTCTTTGTCGTATTTGGGAGCTTATCGCTGTCGTCCTGTTAAATGGATATGGCTTAGGTGCTCGTTTCCTTTAATGCTTAAGCCTCGGTAGCTGCGAAAGTCGTTAGGCAATCATATTAAGTGGTTTAGACATGGGGATTTCGGACAACGAGCTTAATTATGCAAGTATGATTATGTCCAAACGGTGGCAACTATTAGTTGTGGTGGCGTGCAATTACCAACGAGATTCCTGTGGAAAGTACATGTAATTATCGTACTTAAACAAAGCTTAGTTCGAGCAGCTCCAGCAAAAAGGTCAGACTTTATAATCGAAGTTGGTTTATTTTTGCCGGCTTTGTGAGCAAACGGATTTCGAAATGAATTACCAAGCTCCCATCCTGCTCGACTTTGTTGATTGGCCCAATTGGCAGCGGTGCAAAGAGTTTCAATCTCTGTTGGCCAGTTTGTTCATCAATTCTCACTCTGAATAATTTAGGCTCGGCATTTTGCCTCGGCTTGGTTTCCCCTTCTCTGCATTTCCCATGAATATTTAATAGCACACTTTCGCCAGATATTTATGTTTGTGCAGCTCACTCTAATTGAAAATAAAAGCAAATAAAAAACACAGAAAGTAAGTAAAGAAACGCAAAGCCAGGGGATGAGCGGACGAAAAATAAAAACTTAAATGCGGTATGAAAATAGAAATCTGCCAGGCATGAAAAGTCAAATGTCACATGGCCAAATCGTAAATAAAGCGAGGAGGATGGCAATCGTGTCGATGGATGGATGACTCACATTTATGCAGGCGTTTAATGTTGCGTTCATCTTTTATTAATAGCCACACATGGCCATGATTATGTAGATGGTCCTGCATCCCTGCTGCTCCCCAATTTCCTGCTTGTGGTTCTTTTCCTGTCTCGTTTTACAGGGCTGGGCTTATCCGCTTTCTGTTTACCTGCTCGCTGGTAATTTGTCAAATGTGTACTTTTCTCGGCATTACTTTGCTGGCTGTTGCGCCTGTGACAGAGTGTGGCATTTGCTAAATGGCGAGGGTAGCTTCAACAGTATTTTACAAATATATTTTGTCTCAAAGTTCAGGACCAACAAAAAGAAACATACGATTTTTTGTTTATCTGTCGAATTTTTAACTTGATCGTCCCAAAAAATATGCAATGCTTTTTTAAAGTTAAGTGACAAATATTGAAAAGGAATCTTTCTTATACTAAATGACAATTCCTCAAAATATCTTTCTAAAATCTAGCTAAATCAGTAAAGTAAAATCTGCAGAGTATTTCGGACGCACAAAATTAAATTGCTCGAAATGTTATAAGTTTATACTTGCCATGTTAATATAAAAGAAAAAGTTAACTCTACTACTGTCGTAGCTACCCAAAAAACAAGAATGCCTGGTTGGGGCTTACTGATGAAAATGATGATGGCGGAGATTCTTTGGCAACAACTGGAAAGAGGGATGGGAAAGGGAAGCTCAGCAGGTGCCTTCAGCCGGGTATTATTTATTTCTGCTTTATACACGCATTTAGCTTTACTTTCTTTTCGCTTTCGCTGTGGGGCAAATGTAATAAATTTCCTACAAGCATTATCTTTAAATGCAGGCCCATTGTGAGGCGGCAAAACGAAGGGAAGAGGAGATGGAGGGCTCAGAATGACAAGGAATGGTGTTGCCATGGTCTTTAATTATTGGACCTTCAGCTTTGCTTGTCTGGATCCGATTTAGACTCTTTAAAACTGGATAAATCTCGGCTCGATGCCAACAAAATCTCAATCCAATTAGTAGAGCAAGTAGAGGGAGAATATTGTACATACTTCATAGTACTCCAATTAATGGCTTCAGCAATTAAAATGGCCAATTCGCCAGAAAAGAGTGAACGAACTAATGGAGCAACTGCAACCGTTGACGCCATCCTAAGCTGACAATGCAATTTTCGCATCATAGCATTGGGGATCAAGGGAACTTCAGAGTGGGGCGAAGTGTCAAGCTTGGAGGCAAGCACACAAAACACCCAAATCCCCTGCCCTTTTTGCCACACTTGCACTTCTCCCATTGCAGTTGCGATTGCAGTTGTCGTTGATTTTCCTTCGCTGGTTGTTTTCCCCAGCCCAAAAACCCCACTTTTCGCTTTTCCCAGGCAGACTGCAATTTACATAAGTGCCATGTGCGCTTTTCGTTGTTTTGTCATTCACTTGTTCGAAAAGTATAACGCAATGACTCCATGAAAATTTTGAAAAGGGAAAATTGTGTGGACTATTCTACAAAATTCAGATGGGAAAATAATGCAGCAATTTATGGGCAAATATGTTTCAAAAGGTCCGGTGTTTTGTATAAATGTTTTTAGGTTTTTCCTTACAATACAGCGCTGGAATTGAACGCATTTCAATTTCATTGAAAAATCAATAGTTTAGTTTACTACAAGCAAAGTTTCATAATTCTGTGCAGTGTTTATCTTCTGGAAACTTCTGCAATGGATCGCCAGCGCCAGTAAGGCCAATTAATTAGTTTTTACCGGTCTTGTTTACCCCTCGGATTTATGATGAAGATGTCTAGAGAATTGAGGTCAGATTCCGCTGTAGAAAATTCAATTCACTCCTTCTGCTGATTTCTGGCATTGCGGCATGTCGTATTTCTTGTTCTATGTGCTTGCCGCAGCGTTTGCACCAAACTTTTATAATTAAAACTTTTCACGGGAGAAATCTGGTTGTAAGGCAAAAAAAAGTTGGCTGAAAAGAATGGTTTAAAAAACAGCAGAATGTCGATATGAATGCGTACCAAATAATGGATGAAGATCGAAATTTATGATTTCTACTAGGGAGAGGTTTTGGTAATTCCTCAGGAACTGTGAGTGAGCCACTTAAAGAAGCCATCCCTCAAGTGAATGACCAACCACTTATCGGGTTTTCTCGGACTAAGTTATGCAATGCCCAAATGGGAAACCTTGGAGCCATAAATAAGAGCGGAAACTGTTGCCGCCGCTGTCAGTTCAGCAAAACTGCGTAAAAGCCAGCCTCAACCCACTGCTTTCTGTTAGCCAATGACGAAGACATAAATCACAAAGGGAAAACCCAGGGAAAAAGAAAGGAAAATAGAGGAATGGTTCACTTGGAGGCTGGCCAATTGCTTATGATAAGGCGATAGTAGATAGTATATAGATATGCAATATCTTTTCCGGTGTGTTTATCGAGTTGGTCCCCTAATTGGACTGGACCACAGAGCGTATTCAGGCTATTGTTCGACATATGCTTCTTTAATCTCTTGACCCATTTCTGCAAAATTTAATTTGCCGCCACAATTAAGTGCAGTCTTAAAAAGTGTAATAGGGTTTGCTGCTGTTTTATTCGATTTGCGGCAGTGATTTTTTGTTCCAGCTGCTCTGATTTCGCATCGTTGGGCACTCGTTCAACGCGGCGTATGCGCAATGCCTGTCCAGTCGATTACTGGCCTTGCCCCGTCATAATGAAGCATAATGCATATGGATCAGAGGATATATATATATATGGAAGCCGCATTACCCGAGTCGCATAACGATTGAAATCCTTTGCTTGTCATTGTGAGTTTTATTCTATTTTCCCTTATAGTTCAGCTCGCTTTTCTGTGTGGAATGTGCGCGTGCTGTATGTGCACCACCATCCCTTACATCCCCCATCCCCACATCCTAGGCACAGAAGAGGCGTGTCCTTCCTCTCATTCCGCGTCAATTCCCTTCTCCTTGTACCGCCGCAAGCCGAGCATTCAATATTGCAATATGTGCATGGAATATCTGAGCGGCGAAGCAAAATAAGTGAAATAGAAGGAGGAGGGGTCCCCAATCGATTGTTGTACTTGGCTGAATAAGACCCTGAAGGCTTAAGTCAAGTTATTTTATCGCAGTTCCAGGGTTTTTTGAATTCCTTATACTTAAAACAGGGTTTGTCAATTCAAATTTGAACGTTTTAAGATATTTTCAGGTGCTTAAAGAATGTTGCTTTAAAAATGAATTACCATTATTGTTCAATTAACCTTGAGCGGGGATTTATTCAACACTCGTTTGAATCACTTTATAAAGTGCAAGCATAAATCAAACAAATCAACTAACAGATTTTTAAACACTTGTTAACAATTTAAAACAGTCAACAGAACAGAATATAACAATTCGATTTTATGAAAAGAACACAAGTTTTAGGGTGTTGTTCCTCTGGATCTGTGAAGTAGTCAGAGAAAGCGGTCCTTTTATTAGACAGATTCCGATTATTGGGCCAAAATGATTGAACTTACGATGTAGTACTCTAAGGGCGCCCGACAGAGGGGACACGCTTTACTGGGGCTCCGATCGTAGACCTTGCAGAGACAATTCTTGCAGAATGTGTGTTTGCACGGGGTGTTCACCTGCCGACGAAGTTTGCCAAGGCAAACGGCGCAAAATTCATGCATCATGTTTGTTTTTTTTTTTTTTTCAGCTTCAGTTTCTCAGTTTTCAGGTGATTCCTGTGTTGTTTTAGTGACTGACACAGTGTCACAGCCTGGGGCGAACTGTTTGTCAAAGCCATCTCGAGCGGCATTCTGGACACATTGCCTTCCCCACACGCACAACCACACACATGTAGTCGGGCTGTCACGTTTCCTATGGGCTTGTCAGCTGGATTTTATTTATGACTGTGTGAAAATGGTTCAATGAATCGCGCAGGACGATTAACGCAATAGCAACGCGCCTTCAAACAGGGTGCTTCCCTAAGACAGTAGCTAATATAACAAAAAACTATTACACAAGACACACCCTTAAATCCCAACAAAATTTGTAAATGAGCTCTTAAATCTCCGAAAACTATCAGACTTTAGGAAACAATTATATGAATATTTATATATATAATATATATTGTTTCTTCAAGACGAGTATATCGATACAAAAATGTTGCCTTACCTAAATATTATATAGATCATATCAATTAGTTTTCACCCTGTATGCGAACTTATATAGGCACAAGCTGCTGACAAGTGGAAGAGCCTGCTTATTGTTTGACTCAGTACATAATAGATTTTTATCAGGCCCTTATCCAGCGCCACCCACATGCAAGCATTGAATATTGTCAAATTAGGGCAAAGATTGATTGTCATTTTGTCAGTCAGTCTCACTCAATCGCCGAGGATTAAGGACCCGAACTCAGACCCCCGACTAATGCTCCTTTTTTTCTGCCTGCCTCTTTTCAGCGGATGGTTGGGCAGTGCCAAGGGTTGGCTGGGAAACGCCTCGATACCGTCGATGCCAGCCATGCCGTCGATGCCATCGATGCCAGCTATGCCAGCCATGCCGTCGATACCATCGATTCCGGGACTGCGCAAAGCCGGAGGCGCCGAGGGGGCCGAGGGCGCCGAGGGAGCTGCAGCCGGAGAGGGCGGGGCCGCCGCCGGTGGAGCCGTGAGTGGTGGCGAGGATGACGACAAGTCGAGGTATATTAGGTATGGGTGCCAGCTTGACAATGACGGAATTATATACGAAGCAGCCGCTGAAAAGCTGAAAACAAACCAATGCCAAAAATTTTATGAAATGAAGATGAGAAGCGCGTTTGTACTTTAGTTCCTTGGTTTCGTCTTCGGTTAATCTCGGTTTAAGCCATCCCAAGTTTATAGCCTTTTGTTCCAATTTTGCGGGTACCTTTTGTTTGAAGTCGTTGCCGAAAAGTTTTTTTTTCCTTCAAAAGAACCGAAAGAATATGAGCTGAGGTTTAAGTTTTTTTGGTTTTGTTTACAATTAGTTTGCTTAACCAACGGCTGAAGCCTTTTCCACACAATTTACTTATATACTTATCAATATACACACAAGTTTCTCTCGAACTATATAATAACTATTTACTATTTACGATTTGCCTATATACTCCACATCAAAGAGAACTCGCTCTCTTTCACACATTTAGTTGAGATATTGTTGCGAATTTTCACCTAACCAATATATTTATAATTACCTATTGATTTATTCTACACGATTTATCTTGTGCTGGTTCCAGTTTCACTTTTTCACATATTTAATAACTTTTTGTACAAATCGAAATACGATCTCTGTCTCTCTATAAATCTCTTTATCTCTAACCCTATCTTTCTTCCCCATCTGTAAAACAACATTTACAAATTGTTTCCACGTTTTTGTATATAAAACTAAATAATTGAAGAAAAACAACCTGAAATTGGAAATACAACATTTTGTCCCTTTACGAAAGTTTAGAAATTTTTAAAAAATGTTTGAATATGGATAAGTTAATAACTTATTTACAAGCTTTCTTTACTACTTAGTATCTATAATATATTTATAAAATGATAAGTTTGTTATTACTCCAACTTTAAAAATGGACACAATTTTCGGAAAAAAAATGTTGTATTTCAAGAACTGAAATTACCATAACTCATTTCATTCAGCTCATGTTCAAAAACGATTTTCATTTGTCTAAGTCGTGCAACTAGTTTTTCTTCTTCAACACAAAACATTAAACACACATTTGGCAGTCCCATCTTTTCTGTTCTTTCAAACCATTTCATTTAAATTTATTTTTCAACGCGTCGAAGCCAAAAAAAAAAGTATTCTATCTTAATTTTTCGACTTTGATAAATGCCCAAAGTATCAGATTCCATCATTATTGAGCGGCCCATCGAACCAGGTCAAGGAAACCGAATCAAAACCCAGAAACCTATCTGGAACCAAGTCCTATGGCTACGTACAGTAGATAAAAGAAACAAAGCTCAACCCTAATTGTTGTTGGTAGATGTGTATCATTGTCATTATTCCGATCATTATCAGTACCATTATCATTGTCCTTTTATTTCCTTGTCTTCAATGCAAGCCCATCTCGTTGTATTGCTGTGTAGCTCTACCTTCTGTGTATTATTTTGGTGCATTATTTTTATTTCTCCTGGTCTCTTTTTTTTTGAGTAGCAACTAAAAATCCTTCTATCGCTATGTGTTTGTGTTTCTCCGGTGAGAATTCTTTAAAAAGAAAAAAAAAAAAGAAAGTTGCATTCATGAAAATGCTAACTAGTCCTTGCATGACTTCTCAGTGTGCTCCCCATTTTTTAATCATCCTTGTTTTTCTTACGTTAATTTGTCCCCTTGTAGTCTCTGTTTTTGGCATCGTTCATCCTGACATTCATATGAGATTCCGTCATTCCATTTGCATTCACGAATCAAACTGAAAAATACAATATAAATGAATAGCTGTATACAAAAACATGAATACGTGTAAATATACATAAGCGTTATAAAGTAAACCAATATTAAGCTTGTGGATAAATAAAAACAAAATTTTATTGAATTCCTAAATGCCACAAAAGATAATAATATTTCGGGAAACGTAAAAGTAATTTTTACTAATATGTGGGCATTTCTTAGAAAAAAACCAAAGTAAATGTTTAAAGGAATGAAAACAAAAATGATATCCCTATAGTTGGCTAAGAGAGACAGAACCCAACTGATAATCTTACCTATATAAAATACAGCACGTTTAATAAGTGTTGTTGCATGATGATGTATCTAGTTTTTTGTACAAACTATGTTTCAGTTCTTTTTTTTTTTTTTTTGTTTATTGAGAATTCTCAGAATATAAAGTGGGTTACCTTTTACATTTTACTTAAGTTTATTTGGCTTTGCTGTCTGCTGCATGAATTAATCTTGGAGCTTAACACACTATCGTTAAGACTACACGAACACTATTTAATTAAAAAATATTTATATGTCCTTTTTCCATCTCTTTCGTTTCTTCCCTGCCGAAATTGCGTAATCGCAGCGCTACGGAGGGCGCCGACTCGCATCCTGCATCGGGCGGTGGCACGCCCACCGGCGACGAGGGTCAAATCGGACAGGGTAAGGGCGATGAAGTCAAAAGTACGTGTCACACTTTGATTGGTAACCAAATTACAAGAGACAACTTCAAACACATTGTGCTAAATGTCGAATCAATGTCAACTCGACTGGCCAATTCAAAAAGATTGAGATAGAAAGCGGTGACAGGTTACTAACCCCGAGTTACAAGTAGTTTGAACCACCCACCCAGATAACCCGCTCCCCTAGTGAAACATTTACTTTGTAGTCTAGTTTAGTTTAGTTTAGTTGGTAGCAGTCCCTTTTCTTGGGCTGATTGCAGTGAACGGCCTGAAACTTACCGCATTCTGATTTGAATCTGTCCGACAGTTACCACAAAAGTAACACAGCAGGCCAAACACTTTGGATCCTTCTTGTCATCGGCCATCAGCAAGGCTGGCACCAAAATTAAGGAAACAGTCAAGGATAATGTGAGTGCCTGCTAGTGCCTTTTGGGAATGAAAAAGAAAAAGTATTTAAATTGCATTTGACGACTGTTTTCCCAGACCATTCTCGACTCGTTCAATAAGGAGCAGGAGGCCTTCATCAAGGGCCAGGGCGGCGTGGGCAATGGGGCAGCACCCTGGATCGGGCACGCCAACGAGGCCAAGATCAAGGAGGAGATCCTGGGCCTGTCGCAGGATCGCCGCAACTTCGTGCGCGCTCCGCCCGCCGGCGTGGACTTTGAGTTTAGCTACGACACCGCCTATCCCACGGCCATAGCCATTATGGCCGAGGACAAGGCGCTCGAGACGATGCGATTCGAGCTGGTGCCCAAGATGTGAGTATAGCAGGTATATGGTCAGCAACAGAGACGTTACCAAAGACACTACACTATCCACAGCATCACTGAGGAGAACTTCTGGCGGAATTACTTCTACCGCGTCTCACTGATCATCCAAGCCGCCGAGCTGGGAACCCTGGGCGCCGATGGCGTGGGCCAGGCTTCCAGCGGCGAAGATGGTAAGTCGGCTGCAGCTCCTCCTCGCCCCTCGCCGTTGAAAACTCTGGAAAATAGTTAATGCAATGAAATGCAGGTTGAACAGACTGTCTCGCTCACCAAACACTCACACTCGTTACTCGCGCGCTCTCTATCTATCTACCTATCTATCTATCTATCTATCTATCTATACCTTTATCTGTATCTATATCAGTACTTGTATCTATCTGCCCACAAACTCTGTCTATCTTTCTCTAGGTCTAAGTCTTTTGTTTTTGGTTCACCTTATCCACACGCGCCTGTTTAACTTATGATTTCTTCTTAGTCCTTTTCACACACGCTAGCTATCCAAAGTTTTACGTTTTCTCGCTCTCTCTATCTACCTTTTTGAAAGTATTACAACCTCGAGTCCCGAAATAACTAACTTGGCTAGCGTCTGTACTAACCGCCTAAGAGTTTGCTCAAGTCTTAAGTTGAATTAAGCCCTTTGATTTGTATCTGTCCCTCCACCACCTCCACTGGCTTGTGTCGTCGAGGACTCGAGTCCCGGTTTTCGGTTTTACCTCACTCCCCCACTCCGCTCATCTCAATCGCGTCTCGAGATCAATTGAAACTCGCTCCACGAACGTCGCCAGCCGCCCAGCGCCTCACCTCAAATCGATTAACTTTACTTAGTTTTCCTCTTTTTGGTTTTGATTTATTTATGTTTTCTTTTCTTTATTTTCTTTAATTTATTATGATGTATTCCAACACGAAATTACACTGTGAAAACGAACATGACCGTCAAAATCTCAACTGTGTTAAACGATCAGCCAACGAAGTGGCCAATAAAGAGAGCACAACCAAGACTGTCGAACCAGCCAAGAGCGATACCAGTCTGAAAGCCATAGCCGAGCAGCCGAAGGCCGTGATAGAGCCGGAGGTTCAGGAACCCCATGGGGCAGCCAAGTCGAAGGCTCGTGCTGGCAAAGAGCTGGGCCAGAAGATCTCCGAATCGGAATTCGTTTCGGACGACTTTCAGGCCTCCAGCGAATCGGACTTGGCTGAAATCCAAGACGGCATGCGCAAATTGGGCATTGATAGCATGACCCAACTGGCACTAGGCACGACTGATGGTAAGATTTTGTGTTATTTTACTTTCCCTTCTCAGTTTCTTTCTTATTGTTACTGCAGTTTAAGTTACTTTAGTTTGAGACTAACATTATTTGTACATACATTGGTCCCATGAAATCGATCGAACTGAATTTCATTGGTGTTCTGGTAAACACAACACATTCATTCATACACATGCCACTCTTAAAACATCCAAAAATATTACGTGTAGCTGTCAGCTAGTTATATTGCTTAGCCGGCGAGCTTTAGCTCTGTTTTCATCTAGACTTTAGGGAGTTAGCAGACACTCTCATTGCCATTTGAGCACAAAAATGTCTCTTGTCTGAGTCGCGTATTTTGTTTTCCCAGCATACACCATATTCTATTTTGCAAACAAAGCCACACATTAAAATATATATTTTTGTTGTACAAATACAAAATAAACAGAACAAACATTCTAAAACAAACAAAAATGTGTGTACAAATCAAGTGTAAAAACCGAACAATTCTCTTTTTTCTCCTCTGCTCTGTTTCTTTCTTTTGTGTAAATTACATTTTGTATGAAAATCGTTTTTACTTATTATATGACGACCAACTCAAGCTCTGGCATTTAATTACTAAAGCGAATCTATCAATTGAAAGTAACATTAAACCAATAAATATAAACGAAATCACATTATAAACATAGAAATAATGCAACAAAAATATAACAAGAGTATTATATAAACACATATAAATATATTTACTGGATTAAATCGAACTCGACTCAAAAGTTTCGTTTGCCATTTAGCAAATAAAAAAATAAAATATATACATACATTTGTATCATATGGTATAAAATTTGATTTCAAGTATCAAGCAACAGTTTGAGAAAGAGTTAAGCCACAAACCAAATTTCGAACAAGTTGAGTATGACCAAACTGATCAAAACAATCTTATATACTACATATATCCTACTGATACAACTTTCGCTCTCTCTTTGCAATTTCGTGCTCCTTTTTATTCAATTTGCAATTCAAGTTCATTTACAAAAATTAGCTAGATGTAATTTTCGTTATCTCCTCCGTTTCTTCCGATCCAATTCTCATTTTGCCTTTTACTTTTACACATTTCTCCACATTGTTTAAACCAAAAAATATATTCTTAACTGGCCGCGACACAAAAATTAACCTCCTCTCCTAGCAATACACAAAATTTTCCAAAAGTATCTTACCAAGAATATTTGATGATGAATTTGTATGGAAAAACATTTTTAACAAAACATTTATTTTTCTTCATGTATTTCTTGATTTATTTACAAATCATCTTGCAGAAGATTGAATGGATTAAAACCAAAAGACAAAACAAAATGCTAAATCTAAATTTCAAAAAGCAAAAAAATACAACTAACAAAATAAACAAAACAAAATTATACAAAAAAAAATACTACAAAATTGCCCACAAGAAAGAAAAGAAATTGTTAAGCGAAACAAAAAAAGTACTACAACAAACCAAATTATATAAATACTTATACAAATATTCACTTGACAACAATGAACATTTGAGTTGAACCCAGAAAACGCATTATTTATATAAACCGATGAAAGAAAATCCAAAAAATGTTACTAAAAAGACAAAAAACCGAAACCAAATTTTGTGTGGTAAGTTAGAAATTGTTGGTTGAATAAGAGCAAAACAAAAAACAAAAAGTCAAATATATACAAATTGCAACACATTTTAGTTGTGATAATTATCGTTTCCATGTTGGTTTTCAATTGCATAATGTTTCTGTTCAGCAATATTATATGTAAATATTATCCTACAATTCAACGTAGTTGCAATTTCCATCATTTCCCTCAACGCTCCTGTCTATATAATCGTTGCGTATGTTTTAGTATGTATGTGTGTGTAAATTGATTCGTAGTTTTAGCCAAACAATGCTTTATTTTTAGTTTAGCATTTCCATTATCGTTTTCATCAATGTGCGTGAAAGACCTGTTGAGGGCAAGAAGAAAGAAACCTTTAACAATAACTTGATGCTTCTTTAAAAACCGATACGCTTTTTATACTGCACCAATATAAACTCAATCGGGTTTCACTTTCTGAACCAATAAAATCGTACGTGTTTTTTGACCAACTCACCACACAAAATCTATGAAAATAAGTTGAATACGTTAGAAATGTTCTGGAAAAAATTGAATTAAAACCCGAAGAAGCCGCAGATGACTCAGTTTCTTTCCCCTGTTTCTCTCTATCTTTACATGGCATTTTAAGTTAATTGATATTACCACATTTTGTTTGCCAGCTGATTAACCAGTGTGTAAATAAATAATAAATAAAATGTTCAGTTCGCTTGCTTTTTATGCGTAAATGCTGTAAATACACACAAATATTATTTTTGTTGTAAACATTTTTGGTTAACTGCGGAGTGTGAAACAAGAATATATCACACACAAAGTGGTGTTTTGGGACTACAAGCAAGTCATGGACTGGGGAACTTTTGGGTGCACGCTATCCGTCAATTAGTGCTAGATCGAATATATTGTTCAGCCAAACCCTTAATGTTAACCATACTATTTGTCTGACTTTCTCAATTGACTAAGTACAAAAATAAATATAAATTTCCAACTATTTGTAGACGGCTATTATTCAGTCACGGTGCGCATACCCAAACGTATAACAGTGTGTGAAAATCTATGTCTTAGCTATATCCCCAGAGACTAGCCGAAGGTAAACGTAAGCGATGATTGAAATGAGAACAACCATGTACTTGCTTGGGATGGTCACCTAACCACAATTCAATTGCTTGCCTAGACACCTTTGATACTAAACCTATATACCTATATACCAATATACGATATGTGTAAACCATGTATGCTAAAACCTATTATATCCTTACATAAGCAGATATCTGTTACCGAGCTGCTAAGCCACGCATATTCTAATCGATATTCTGCTTGTTGCTCCGTCTTTTGCCAGAGGAACAATGGGAAAAGGATCTGGAAGCTGAACTCAAGGACTACGAGGTGGTCGACGAAGGCGGCACTGACGGCGGCGGAGGAGGACGCAGAAAAGGCAAAAAGGATGCCCAGGACGAGGCAGGGGCGGAGGCGGAGGAGGACGAACCGACAATATCAAACTTGCGCACACGCTCGACTAACAACGATTGGGAGGAGTACGCAGATTTAATTGAGGATACCGATGATTTAAAGTAATTAAGAGCTTATATCGTAGTTTCTTCTAAGTTGGCTCTAAGTTTATAACAATCTTTACTTTATCTTTCTTTTCCTTCCTTTCCACCCTTGTTTCGTCCTTGATTGATTACCCCAATATTGTTAACCCTATCAAAATACAAACATATTTGAAACCACAGAACTTTGAAGTGCCTAAAGCGCACGATGTTGGGCTATCCATGAGACGAGGCAGTCCCCCCAGCGCTCTTCTAGTGCCAGTGGTCCCCAGACATATCACTGGGGGCTTGCCTTGGGGTGGCCTATTGGAAAAGTTGGTTAAGATACTACCCCTTCACACCCACTCAATTATTGGCCCCAGAGCAAGACGTTTTATTCAGTTACCTTCAGACATGATATAAGACACTAAAGCAAAAGAAAACGATTTTATTCAATCTTAACGTTTTAAAGAAATCAACCAAGCCCAGCCCAAGCCCAAGCCCAAGCCAATCTGGTATTCAAATATATCTACTATATTCTCTTTTATTTGGTTGACACAACACCGAGTGGCAGCGGTAGAGGGAGTCGTCGGTATTACTTGCCAATTGTTCAGCACACGAAATCCGAAATGTGGCAGTCAGTAACCTATCAATAAGTACTTATATAGACACACAACTATGAATGCAGGCTAAACGAGAAACTAGCTAATGCTATAAATGCAGATCATATTTCAATATAGTGACTAAAAATTGAGTAAACAGAACAAGCTTCAAAGGGAAAATTTTGTTATTTATATTTATAAATAAATTATATATAAATATATATAAACATATATATATATATATATATATATATATATATATACAGATAAATTAATGCATTTGAATTTAATGTGTAAAAATTATTATAATAAAAGTATAGATATAAAATATGTAAAGATACGAGAGACCCAAAATAAAAGTTGAAAATTTGAGTTGGAAAATTCTCAATAATGCTCTTTTCTTTAGAAAACTTGCAGTTGAAAAACAAGCGAAATAAAACCTAGTAATTCATTATTTGAGAGCAAGAAAATAACATTCAAGAGTATTATTTCTCCCTCAAATAGTTTAGTCAAACAAAAATATTAATTATCATTGATTAATGCTTAAACACGTTGAAAAATAAATAGCAATGCATATAAATAAAAAATAATTGTTTAGCTCAATTTAAGGCGCGCCAACAAGTTTTCTTTTCCGAACATTTTTAGTTCGAATCAAACTTCTTTAGGATTTTTTCTATACAACTCTCACTATGCTGTTCCACTAACAAGTCACGAAACTTCCTTGAACGTAACTAAAAACAAAATGCCAAAACAATAACATACTGAATTGGACTTGAAAGATCAAGAAACTAAAAACGCAATTAACAAATTACAAATAACAAATGAAAAGTAAATGCAATTATAAACAATAAGCAGTTCAAAACCTTTGAAACAAATATATACACATATATATTTATATATTTCACTAGACAAATTTTTATGCATAACTAAAAACAAAACAAATTCTATATTATCAATGTTTTTGCTCTAAATGTCTAACTAATTGTTAATAAAACCAGAAATCGAATTATTTTCTGCAGACAAACGTTATATGATAATGCTATGAATGTGTAATTATTTGTTAGCAGTGACGAAATATATTAAAAGCAAGCGGACAAAACGGAAAAGTAAAAGTTATGACATTAAACTGTATATTGTACATTTACTTTTAAACAAATGAAATGTATTTACACGAAACGGCATGGAATATGATAAACTAAAGAAATTTTAAAATTTATATTTACTTTGTGCGTTTTTAAACATGTTGGCGACACAATGACAGGCAAATTAGTGCATAATAATAACAATAAATATTAACAATTAATGATAAATGATAAATAATGTAAAGATGTTGACAACATATGTATTTTACAAAGCAGAATAACCCAACTCCCAGACCCGATCCTCACCGATTCCCAAAATATATATCAAGTCCCTGCATTGAACCTCTTACACATTTTTTATTGTCTGCAAACAGTTTATTATTAACCCGAACATAACGAAAAACAATTAAATTAATGTTTATGAGCAAAGTTTGTTGGGCAGCATTCCATTAATATAACATTGCAAAATGAAATAAAATATATGTATATGTACTAATTAAAGTATATCACCCCCGATACGGAAAATAATTTAGTTGTTTAATGATTCATAATATTTAGACACGTGAGGATGCCCCGTAGCAGCCTCCGAATACAAAAATAGTCAGCAGAAAGCAGAGACACTCCTTGAAATGCCATAGAACATTTTCCACTCCAATGTAAAACCAAGCGCAGAACGTGGAGTTTCTCTGACGAGAGCACCCTGAAAACTAAGCACAGCAAACGGAAAATAAATAAAACATTTTGTGTAAAGTTTGTTGACAGACCGATGAACACATACGAGTATATACATAATAAATATATATGAGAACAATTTAACGAGATTAAAATCAACTAAAGTAATAAAGGGAAAGTGTATAACTATTAAAACTAAAGAAACAACCCCAGCTCTTTTATTTCAATTTTCGCATATTGCATTCAATTTATTCAAAATAATTTTCGACACATAAATTACAGGACCTAACACTAAACGGATTAGACAAATAACAAATTTTTGGACAATGCACATTGAATTAACAGCGGGAGTTAATAAGCATGCGATTGTGTGCCAATGGCAGGCCAATCAAATAATTTACAATATTACATTTGGCTAAAATCTGGAAATCTCATAGGTGCCCCCGTATTTGCGGCGCAAATACCTTCAAACGCGAAGCGGGGATAGAAATTGGCTTCGATTGACTTACGGCTAGTAACACAATTTTAATGATTTATCGTTGCCCTTTCACCCTGGACTAATTTACACACATTTTGCTAGACAAAATTGCCTCTGGCTGCGGGTCACCAGCGCGGACTTCGACGGTGCGGCTCGGAACGTTCATATTCTATGCTCTTAAGACGGCTGCTCGCCTCCAGCTGCTGCACCGGAGCCGGTCGGCCACGATGTACAATGTCTTTCCATATCATGGCCAAGAGTATGAAGAAAGCCCCCACAATCTTGTTCAGAAACTCGATCAGCTTGAACACAATGGGAGTGGCTGTGTGGGTGAAGCGACTCAGCTCGAACAGGAAGCGAACAGCGAATACGCCCAGGAATCGTAGGGCCAGCGCTGCTCCACCCAGGGCAGAGAAGATGAGCAGCCCCAGAAACCGAATGGTGCCCAGTATGTTCCTCTTGTTGACATCGTTGGCCATGAAATCGTACACGGTCTGTTTGACTCCATCGCCCCACTGTTGCAGCACAGCCAGGAAGTCGTTGAGACCCAGTTGAATTTGCTCCGCCATCTCGTCTGCCTTGGAGGAGTCTTCCCCCGCTGTGATCGCATTGGAGGCGTTTCTCCTATTGGACACAACAGATCTCCGCGGTGTCATTAGTGGCTCGGGCTCCACGGGCCGCACCATCTTGAGTTTCAGCTGGACCTCCTGGTCCCTGAAGCGCAGTGTCTTGATGCTGAACCAGTACTCCCCAAAAGCCAGGTCGCTAATCTCCGTCCAGATGCAGGTCTCCAGTTGACCCGGATACGGCGTGTGCTTGTAGCTGCCACAACTTCCGCTTGTGATGCCCACCCACATGTTGGGCACGAAGCGCTGGTAGAACCTCTGCAGCTGACCGGCGCTAGAGTGCAACAGCTTCTCCAGCTCCCGCTCGCTGCGCTGCAGCACCACCACGTCTCGGTAGCCGCCCACCTGCTCCACAAAGCAGCGCTCCAGGTAGTGTCCACGGAAGAGCCGGGATTTGAACAACTGTTTGGTGAGCTGCTGCATGGCGAGCTCCTCGGGCGGCATGGGGCGCCCGTCCGCCTGGGTCACCACGGCACTGGTGTCCATGGTGTCCAATGGGAAGCGACTGTAGAAACCTCTGATTAATGACCAGCAATTAGCCTGCAGCGACCCTTACCGAGTGGTAGTAATTGGACTTTGCTGCAACCACTTTCGCCGCTTAGTCAGCGCACCGTTCTTTGTTATTGTTTGGCTAGGCAATGTGTGCCAGTCGATTCAGGGTTAAAATAGAAGTCAGCTGGTGTTTTTTTTTTATAGCTTTAGCACCGTGCATAATTGCACGGCGGTATAGGCTTAATTAAGTCAAAATTTACTCATTTAAACAATAAACAGGTAGACAAAAATTCAGCAAGCAGCTGCTGGGTGTCGATTAACGATAACAATTAGGGTTGCCTCCCCAATCGATTGGCCGAGCAATCATTTCACAGTTGCCCATCGCTAATGTGACGAAAAAAATTATAAAAAACATTTTTGATACTCATTTTTCCCAGCTTTTCCACCCGACCACTTTGGTTTTTCACCCCACCTCAAGATTTCCTCCCAACACCGACTGCGCGAGTGCTTCAGGATGACCTTGGTGGGACTAGCAGCCCGCAAACTGGCGCAGAAGAAGAGGTAATGCCCATTATGGAGGATCCCAGCCGGCTTCTGGTACTAACCTTGCTTTTATTTCGCATCACAGGTCCGCGAAACAGGCAGCCGACTTTCCCAATGGCATCCGCTGCCAAAAGTGCCTGCAGATAGGCCATTGGAGCTACGAGTGCAAGGAGAAGCGCAAGTTCGTCCACCGTAGTTCACGCACCAAGCAGTTGAGCAAGCATTTGGCCCAAAAGGAGGCCGAGGCGCCCAAGAAACCGGCGGAGGGGAACCTGGAAGAAGCGTCCGCTGGCGGAAAGAAGGTCCGGCGCAAACGAAAGCCCAGCAAGAGCTCCTCGTCCTCTTCCTCTAGCTCGTCGGACAGCTCGGATAGCAGCAGTGAATCGGACTCGTCCTCCGGATCGGATTCAAGCAGCTCTAGCTCAGACTCGGACGACGACGATGGCAGCTCCTTAGCTTCCAGTGGCAGTGATTCCTCTTCCGACAGCGACAGCAGCGAGGATCAAAAGCAAGGAGCGCCCGAGAAGAAGAAAAAGCGAGCCGAAAGTTCAGCGGAATCCTCCGAAGATCAGGAATAATTTAGCGACCAGTTTTGGTACCGTAGCGTATAGCTTTAGTAGTTTAGTTTTCCCCAGCACCCTCTCCCTAAGACATGGATCTTTTAACCGAATATACTGTATTGTGTTTACTATTTAAGTCCTCTAAATGTACGTGGTTTGGTGAAGTTCTAGCCAAGTTGCTGTCTATAATAAACGTTTTAGTCCGAGTCGATTTCCTCGTCGAACTGTCTCATTTGGCTGAACATGTTCAGATCAATTTTCTGGCTATTGATGTGCTGGGATTCCATTATCGGTGGGATTTGAGGTTGTTCTGCCAGATCTAAGCCCAGCGGATCTCTTGCGGGATTGCATTCCATTTGAGTGTTCTGCAGACCCACGACCTGCGTCTTAAGATGCAGTTCATCCACCTGTGGAACATTTCATTGTGTTTAAGTTCACAAAAACATGGTAATCGTTAATACCTTTAATGAGTTTAGAGCCTCCTGGATGACGGGAAGCACTTGCTCCAACTTTTTTTGGATGGCAAACAGTTCAGTTTGCTCTTTTTGAAGAACTCGATTTGTTTGCAGCATTTTACAAACAAACTTTTAACCCACTGATGACCGATGAGTGTGAAAGATAGATATCGCGTTACGTTGATAATAGGTTCGGTATTTTTAAACCTATGAGATTTTCAATCTATGAGATTTTAAAAAGCTATTTTAAATAAAAATATAATTGTCACCCCGTAATGCAAAAGTAAAAAATAAAAATGGTAAATTTATGTTATTAATATTATATTAAATTAATATCCTTAAAATTGTTTTAGTTGAAGAGGGTTAAAAAATATTAACAGAGTTAATAGTCCACAGGAACAATGGTTTAAGTTTCAGCTTTGGTGTGCTATCGATTACCTAATGCGAATGCGTCTCTGCGCAGGGCTGGACTTCGATAGCAATGCCGGAAAAGTATACAGCAATCGAAATCATTCGCGCCTTTCAGAAATTTGCATTTGTACAGTCAAAACAGAGATTCGCATAAACTCCGCTGAAATATAAACAAAGAAAAGAAAGCAGAGAAGTAAATATAAACAATTCTTCCCCAATGAACACCTGTGAAGCGGATGGAGAGGCGGAGGCGCTGGTGAGGCGCTTCTCTGCCAGCTGCGAGCAGTTGGAGCTGTATCCGTGGATTCAACAGAGCGCCCTGGCCACCTACCGACGTTTCGATGCCGCCGGCGGACTGTCCACCAGCGAGGGTGAGGTCCAGGAGTGGCTATGCTGCGCCGTCTACAGCGAACTGCAGCGGGTGAAGATTCGGGACATCCGACGGGAATCTCAGAACGCCACAACCAAAGGGAACGAGCCCCTGGCCAAGAACAACTGCTGGAACCTGTCACTAACCCGACTGCTGCGCGGCTTCAAGGTGAACGTGTCTCAGTTCCTGCGCCGCATGGAGCACTGGAACTGGCTGGCCCAGAACGAAAACACATTCCAGCTGGAGGTGGAGGATCTGCGTCGCCGGCTGGGCATCACCTTGACCCTGTTGCGGCACTACAAGAACATCTTCAAGTGCATATTTGTGCGACCCGCAGAGGATGCGGATCCGGACTCCCTGGCTCTTTACCATTCGCTCTACGAATTCGGCTGGCTGCTCTTCCTGGTCATCCGCAACGAGTTGCCCGGCTTTGCCACCACCAATCTGGTCAACGGCTGCCAAGTGCTCGTCTGCAGCATGGACCTGCTGTTTGTGAACGCTCTGGAGATGCCGCTATCCGAAGTAATACGCCGTGACTTTGCCGGAGTGCCCAAAAAATGGGCAAGCAAGGACTTCGACGCTTCTGTTCTTAACAAATATAGCGCCCTGAAGGCATTGGGAGCACTGATTCCTGAGCTTCCCCTGAAGGGGGTGCAGCAGATGAAGAACGCCTTCTTCCACAAAGCCCTCATGCTGCTGTTCATGGAGCAAAGTCTGGTGGGCGACGACACCCACATGCGGGAGGTCATCAAGGAGGGAATGCTGGACATTAATTTGGGCACCCTAAATCGGAAATACTCCGGCCATGTAGCCGACATCAGCGAGATGGACGAGCGGGTGCTGCTATGCTTCAATGAAGCGAAAGAGCGCAAGAAGGTGTCGCACAATGCCTCGTTGCCCGCATACCAATCCAGTTCCTCCTCACCTTTGTACAAAAAACTGCTGGCGCAGGACCTGCCACAATGCCTTTCTGCCGTTATAAGAAAAGCGTTGCACAAGGGCGAAAACGGAGAAAATGTGGTACAATATATAGAGCAGACTGTTAAAAAAATGGATCAGACCTTTGCAGCTGCCGCCAAGAATTACCTGAATGCTGAGGCGGCCGGAGCACGTTTCCGCCTGGCCAGAGGTCTTTACTCCAAGTTTTTAGTAAAGATTGTGGCCTCGGAGCTAGCGCTGAAACCCCAGCTAAAGATAAGTCAGTTACTGAGACAGCGCACGTTAATCACGACCCTATTAGCCTGTTGTCTGGAACTGGCTCTCCACGTCCACGACGAGCAAGTGGATGGCCTTAGGTTCCCCTTCGTCCTAGACTGCTACTCCCTGGATGCTTATGACTTTCAAAAAATACTGGAACTGGTGGTGCGCCATGACCAGGGATTTCTGGGCAGGGAGCTGGTCAAGCATCTTCATGTGTTGGAGGACAAGTGCCTCGAATCGCTGATCTTCCGCAAGAGCTCACAGCTGTGGTGGAACTTGGGAAAAGGCCTGCCCAGCTATCAGGAAGTCCAGTCGGTTGCGGATGGCAAGGAAAACACTTCCCCAGGAGCGGGCATCTGCCTGCGCAAGTTCTACGGCTTGGCCAACCGGCGACTGCTCCTTCTCTGCCAGAGCCTTTGCCTGGTGGACTCCTTTCCGCGAATCTGGCACTTGGCCGAGCACTCCTTCACCATGGAAGGCGGCCGGCTGCTGCGTAACCGCCACATGGATCAGCTGCTGCTGTGTGCCATCCATTTGCACGTTCGGCTCGAGAGCCTGCGCCTATCCTTTAGCATGATTATCCAGCACTATCGCCGGCAGCCGAACGCCCAGAGGAGCGTTTACCGCGAGGTCGACCTGGGCAATGGCCAAACAGCGGATGTCATCCGGTTCTACAACAGTGTGTACGTGAGGAGCATGGGCCATTATGGTCGGCACCTGGACTGCGAACAATCCCGCAAATCGCCGCAACAACCGAAAACGTGTCTGGGCATTCTGCAGGAGACATCGGCCAACGAACGGCACATGCTGGCGAACATAAGCATATCCTCGCCACCGCCGCCCAAGATTTGCCAAAGCGGATCCTGCTCCAGTCTCCCGCCGCAATCTCCAGCCGCTTCGCCACTGCCCACCTCGAACAAACCCGGCCTGAAGAGAGCTTCCTCCAGCGGCGATCTGAGCGATGTCAAGCGTCCCAACATCTTGCGGCGTCGCACCTGCTTTGAATGAAACAATCTGAAAAATGCATTATGAATTGGCTACATTTTACGCAGCTACCCAACTCATTGTAAATGAACCGACTGCTCCATTAAACTCAACCTTTAATAAAATCAATGTAAAAAAAAATATTATAATATTGAGCCTAAACCGCTAAAATAACGCAAGCCACATATTTAAAAAAATGTTTTTTTAAATGCGAATATAAAGAATATTTAACTACACAGCTGCATGGTTGTTTAAATATCTACAAACAAAAATATCTTTAGTGCAAAATACACGTTTTTCAATTAACAGACAAAAATTGTTATATGATTATAAGAATGGAAACAAACTTCGGCGGGTCGAAGCTCATATACCATTGCAGACATAACAAAAATGTATTATTCCAAAAAAAAACAAATATATTTGTCGATTTTCTGACACATTTTTCAATGGTTTCTATAATTTATATTAGGAAAACAAAAGAAATATATTTTAAAAGATTTAGTTTAAGCTACCTACACTGTTTAAACGTTTAAGGACTTAAGTAATTCAGTCCGAGTGCAATATGAAAGCTTAACTCGGAAAATTTAAATTATTATATGCCTGTAAGATGTTAAGTATAAATAAATAAATACTTTCACATTAGGTATATTTAAATAGGTTTTTATTGAATGCCAATTTTGTTTCGACTTTGAAACTTGGTTCAAAACGTTTGTGCAACTGCTTGTTCACGCGACTGGACACGAGACAAAACTGACATGAAACGGGGGACGCGTCAAGATGCAGTCCATCTCTCCTCAGATTACACAAAAGAGTTGGGCTTAGAGTGGAGTATACATAATACATACTGAGAGCGTACGACTTAGAGCTAGTTACTTTAAAGTTTTCTGGCTTAAAAGTAGGAGTTAAGAAGGTGGAGCTCCACCGGCGGCAGGAGCAGTGCTCGCTGGAGGAATGCTGGCGGATGGTGGCATCACTGATCCAGGTGGTGCGCCGCTGCCATCTGGCACCGGAACGCTGCTCGGCGGTGTGGTTTCTACGAGAGGTTAACAAAAGTCAATACAAGAAATTGAATTTCAGAATTTCCTTCTTACCCATGGGTACGGGGGCCTGAGATAGCGCTGCCCCTGCTGCTGTTGGTCCGCTCTGATCGCTGGGGTTTGTGACCATGGCCGTGGGACCACCGGGCTGCGGTCCACCGGCCAGCACAATGGGCGGCGGAGCTACGGATCCGACTATGTGCGGTGGCAGCGGCTGGTGCTGGGCGGTGGGCCCCGCCAGCGGTTGGGACTGAGGCGGCAGCTGGTGGGGATGTGGAGGCAGTTGCTGCTGCTGCGGCAGGTGGGGATGCGGCGGCAAGGATTGCTGTTGCTGCTGCGCCTGTTGTTGCTGTGGCTGTGGTAGCTGCTGTTGCTGCTGAAGGATCATGTTGCCTGCGGCTGCCGCCTGACCCTGTAGTTCCTGCTGCAGGCGGTGATGCGCCTGCTGGCGCGCCCGGAACTCTGCCGCCTTCAGCTGCTCCAGGTGGAATTGCTGGCGCTCAGTGATCAGCTGCTGGCGCTGATACTCCAAGCCCTCGCGCTCTCGCTCCATGGTGGCCTCCAGCTCCTCGAAATGGCGCAGCTTGATCTCCAGCTTCTTCATCTGCGTCTCGACAAGCAGCGCCACCAGGGACTTGATCTTGCGCTCCTCCAGGGCGGCCAGGTGTTTGGCCTTAACGGCTGCCGATGCCAGAGCAGCGGCCGCAGCCGTCTGCATGTTGTTCTCGCTAAAGGTTCCGTCCTTGGCCGCCGCTACCGGTGCTGATCCCGTTCCCGATCCTTCCTTGGCCTCGCTACCGTCCTTCGTCTCGCCATCGCCACTGCTGTCCTCCGTCTTGATGTCCACATCGCCTCCACTGGCGGAAGCGGCTGGGTCTGTGGGTGAGGATTTGTTTGATTTGTCTGACTTGGTGGCTGACTTGTCGCCCGAGGGCGAGGAGCCGGACGACTCCTTGGGTTTCTTGTCGGTGTTGTTGGTGTTGCCTGTCGCTGATGATGATGTGGAACTCGAGTCTGTGTTCGTGTTGGTCTTATCCGATTTCGTTTTGTCTTTGGACTTGGCATCGTCTGTAGTTGTTGTTTGTTATTTGGGTTGTTGGTGGTGGTGGTGTTGATGTTGATGTGAGTTTGGTAGATTGGGCGCAACACAAAAACGAAACAATATACGAATACAGTGCCAAATGGAGAACAAATTGCGAATTTTGAATGCAAAGAATACAAAACAAACAAACAGGCAACCAACAAAAGAAAATACATTACATTTGAATATCGGTTAACACGAAATTAGGTTAAATTAGACTTAACTCTGCTTTTAACCGATATCCATTCAATCCACTTTAATCGACTTATCCTAGTTTTGCCTTACCGTCTTTCTTGCTTAAATCCTTCATTTCCTCATCAGAACCGCCAGCGGATGCAGGGGCGCCTCCTTCCTTGCCCTCCTCGTCCTCTTTGTCGTTTCCAGTACCGGCGATTCCGCTGTTGGCCAGCCCGAAGTTTGGATTAAACTTGCCGCCTGCCGAGGCCTTCTCCACGTTTTTCATGTGGTTGTCCATTATGGTCGCGGGCACCTCATCCTAAACCGTAAAGAGTTAAGATTATTTCAGATCCTGAACAGCTTATCACTGTTAAATACCTTAATGGCTGCGAATTCCTCCATTGCCGCCTTGGCAGCAGCTGCAGCCACGCGAGGATCGACCACAGATGCCAGGAATGCCACGGTGGACATAATGGGATTGCCACTCTTGCTAAACGGAATTGGTTGGCAGCCCAGGGGACCTAGGAAACCTCCATCATCCTCTAAATAGGGGTCCTCGATGGGCAGCCGCAGGAAGTGCAAGATGCACTCGTCCTGCGTGCGAGTACCCACGTGCTCGCAAACCTTGTTCCAATCGTCTTTGTGCATCTCGAGGCCCTCGAGCAGCAGCAGAGTCTCCTGATCGGTCCACTCTCGCGCCATGCTGGCCGCAGTGCGGTTTCTCATGGCCGCTGGCTTTTTGGCGTATTGATCCAACTTAAGACCAAATTGGCTTACACCAGAACTCAATCCTCCGGCACCGCCGCCGTTCTCCAGAGCCTCTGTTTTGATGCCGGTCAGGCCACCCTTGTCACCTAGCTCCAAGCCACCTTCCTTGCCCAGCGGCTTCTTGTCCAAATCCAACAGCGTCTTGGCCGCCGACGGCTGCTGCGTCTTTTGCGGATTTATGGCCTGCAGGCCCGATGGCGTGTCCGAAAGAATGTGGAAGTGGGAAGTCGGAGGCGGGCCCATGGGCGTGGGTCGCAGATCCGCGTCGATCTGATAGTTAATTAGCCCCCACTGCTCCAAGAAAGCGTGCACCCGCATAATGGCACACACATCTCCAGCCAGGTTGCGCCTGCAGGCAGTGCTGGTCAAATACTCAGTCGGATTGAGCCTGTAATGGTTGAGACACATTGATGTTAGTTCCATCATCACATAGAAATATGTAACACACGCACCTGTAAGTGTCTATCATAAAGTTCCTGTAGGCCATGTAGATTTCCGGAGTCTTAGATTTGTTCTTGCTGTTGAAGAACTCCGGCATGGCCCGCTTCTCGATCACATGGATGGAGTTATAATCGAACCAGGCAGAGTATGAGGGCACGATAATGTGGTGCGTTTGCTCGGTCACATTATCCTCCATGTCCTCTTTGGCCGACGAAGAGAACTCCTGCGTGTTACTGTTATCACTAGTCTTGCCTGTCTGCGAGTTGTCGCCGTCTCCGGTGGACATGGCTTGAGCAGCGCTTCCTCCAGTCATCTCGTCGTCCAGATCGGTCATAGTTCCGCCTATATATGTAAGTAGTGAGCTTGGAATACCCTTCTAGATGATCAGACTTACCCTTAATCGGCATCATGTCGTTGTCGCCCCTGGATTTGCCGCCCGGAGCCGGACTAGCGGTCGACTGCAGTGCGGCGTTGGCCTTGTGCACCTCCTGGACGTTCGGCTCGGCCGGTGGATCGTCCAGATCGCGGGTTAGATCCTCGTCGTCGTCGTCGTTACGTGACTTCTTGTGCACCACGGCGGGCGATCGCTTACGCTTGCCCGGCTTTGAGGTGGACGCCGAGGTGGCTGGCGATGGGGAGCGGCGCCTCTTTTGTTTGCCTCCACCGGAGCTGGCAGTGGGCTTCTTCTTCTCGTCGCCAAAGGACATGATATCATCGATGGACATGCGCTGCTTGTGCGTCTTCTTCTTTCCCTGCTCGTCCACCTCGTAGTCCTCCTCGGCCATCCATTCGTTGTACTGCTCCAGGTCCAAAATCCAGGAGGCAGACACCCGCCAGCGCTCCGCCGGCGACTCGGGATTCTCCGGAATGTGATCCGGAAGGTCAAAGTTGTTCACAGCCCAAGAATCGTAGGACTCTGGAAAGTAGTACCAGTGCAGCATTACATGGCCGCCGCGCTTGAAGATCGGCCGTGCGTACTCGTCGGGATGCGGATCAACGATGGGATAGACGATGTGTGTGGCATCCTCCTCGTCCGAAACGATCTCCACGCGTCTGTTGTCCAGAATCTCGCGCAGTCGTCCCTCGAAGCCCTTCTCGATCTCCGGCCTGATGTAGATATACGGAATGCGGTAGAGATCCGCCTCCACCAGCGCCTGTTCGATCTCGATCAGCAGCTGGATGTTGGGGTCCTTGCGCGTCGGATTCTTGCCAATGGAGAAGTCGAACTTCTTGCCGCGCTGTTCGGCACGAAAGCGGAACATGGTTGAGAAGATGATACACAGGCCACCGCCGCTCTTGAAGTCGAGGAAGCAGCGCATCTAAATAGAAAAGCAAAGGCGAAATTTTAAACTATAGTTTATGGGGTCTTTAAAAATAATTTACTTAATCAAAACTATTTATAAATTTAGAAATTTAAACAAATAAATAAGTCTTTTAGAACTAGACTTCTAATTAATCACAAACTAAGCTCTTTGGCTAAGAGAAGGTTAATATTTACGTGTACACACGCAACACTGGGCACCCTGTAGCTTTCACACACAGGCTCACCAATACTAACCGGAATTCTGGTTGCCGGCGGCTCCGCCGAATTCTTGCCCAGCTTGGCCTCCACATATTGCAGGAAATGGACTAAGAGTTGGGACAAGGACTCCTTCGTAATGGGCTCCGAGCTGTGGGCCAAGTACTGCAAGAAAAGTCATTTCAATACGCCGTGTTTTTTTCGTTGCCAGCC